TTTATTGTAAGAAATGATTTACCTCTAAAAAGGAAAACTTAATTACTTTGGGATTAGGATAATCCGAAAACAATGACTTTTTTAGGCCGAATTTTCGACCTAAAAGTAACAATTTTTTAATGAGTTTAATGCTCGAAAACATTGAGCTATGTCACATGATTGATCTCCAAAAAGAAAAAAATGATCTAAATGAGGTAAGTATTATCTGATAATCCATTTGTCATTTTTACCTCATAGGTCATGACCTTAGTGTGAAGTGTATGAAAAAATGTCACTAAGAGCTACATTTAGATGTACCCTCTTTTATGCAATGTTGTTTATAGATAGAGTTATATATGTTCCATAGATGGCATGATATATTCTACATGGGTGAGTGCTTAATACCCTGTGTATTCATTGTTGCATAATTGCGTATTATAGAAATGAGCATGGATATGTCAACATGACTGTGTTGTGTAAACTATGTACAGTAAAACATAAATGTGTTTAACACCATGTAAAACACATAAGATGAAATACTTGTTTATATGTTTATATTGTATAGTGTAAATGCATATTTAAAATATTACACATTTGCGATGTTTCAAAACATGATTCAATACCATCTTATTTGAATTAACTCTTCCCATGTGTATCTTTCTTTATCATCAACCATATTGGTTGTTGCAAAAGTGCCTTCTGTAAAGGGGTTTGCTGTAAATGATCTTTCGAATAGTGTAATATGTAGTAGGTATTGATACAGGTACCACTGTATACAGATCACATGCAAATAATAATTTTCTCCAATGGTTTGGCCAAACATTTGTTGCATTTTTTGTTCATTTCAAATTATATTGGATTGTTTTTGCTGATTGGGATTTTTATGGAATAAACAGTTTAATGCTATGGGTTTTACCCTTTGACAATAGGTATATTGCCTTGTGTAATTATGATATTGTCACTCGATCACTCTGATCCCCCAGTCAATACTTCTGGCTTTGTATAAAAAAAACGTATACCTCGTACACACGATACTTGGGGCATGATACATTCTTTGAAGGGTTCAATTCTAACGTTTCAGATTATTCAGATTATATGAATTGTAGGTGCATTAATGTACTTGTAGACCTACGTGTATGTCTTATAGATCTAACATTTTTCTAGTCATAAAATAAGGCCAGAATTGCAAAATTGCAAAATTGTTTACCTTTGCTATTGTATCCTAAGTTTTGTTAAAAATGCCTAATTGAAATGCTCGTTCACTATAGAACCAATATACACTAAAACGTTTTTTATTTGCTGGAAAATTATAAGAAGTCGTCTAAAAGGTGTCACCCATATTGCCACATTTAGATAGCTCCCACATTCAATATGGAATCATCATCCACTGTTAAACACAACTGCACAAATTACACGTGTGTTGGGGTGAATTTACGATTCCTGAGACTAAAATTATCTTTATTCATGCTGTGATTAAATAAAATGAAACATAGAATACCCTGACATATTAAAAACTTATTACATGTAGAATGGATTTTCTCTATCGAAAAGTCCTTTGAATGGCGCTATTTTGACAATCAATAATAAACTAAAATTAACAATTCTGGCTTTATTTTATGACTCTATATCTATTTATCTTTGACTTGACGAATTTCACATCTATGGATACTTTGAATGTATTAATACCTCAGATAGCATTAAGATTGAAAAATCTTTTAAAATTTTAATTAAAAATTGAACCCTTCAAAAACTGTATCACAACCCACGTACATGGGTAAGAGGTACGAAGCCAATACTTTTTTAACTTGAGAGATCAAATGTCAAATCAAAAGTCAGATTTGACCTCTGAGAACTTTAAGGTGATTTTGAAAAAAGTCGGTCAATTTAAAGCAAGTTGAAAAATACCTTTTAGACCCTCTTTACTTTGAGAAGGTCAATTGTCAAATCTAAAGTCAGATTTGAATTTCTGAGATCTTGAAGACCATTTTGAAAAAATATTCAATTTGAAGACCTTTTTGACCTTAAAGAATGTACAGTAGTAAGAAAGAAGAATGCATTCTTGTTGTATTGTTTTTGAAGAATGGACACTGCAAGCTATCTAAAACCAGTGTGGCACAAAATATGATTGACAGTGTTTGGCTCAATATTAACACCTTGACTGTCACATACAGTGCACCGAAATTGTACTTATTAAACCATATTCAATCACTCAATAGTTGAATTGTAAACACAAAATAAATAGTTTTTTTAACTGTACCTTGCCTGATGTATGCAGTGCATTGAAGCTGAACCAATTAAACTAACTCACTTCTCTACACACTTACCTCATAGTTAATACAAAATATTTTTTCTAAACTTGGATCATGGGTCATTTATCCTTCATAAGAGTCAGTGTGGGGTTTAAGTTAGATAAACTATTCGAACTGGGTCTTATGAGAACTAATAGCCTCAGGCCAAGCCCCTCTGCTATTATTTCTCATAAAACCCAGTACTCATAGTTTATCCATAACTGATTGAACGATTAGAAGATTCAGTGACCTTCTATAAAATTACAAACTGAACATGTTGCTATACCTTAGACGACTACCTGGTTGTCATTCACTAAAGGGATTCTCATTAAAGGTTGGCACATAAAAATGCTTTTTGGTCCAATGACTGCCACTTGGTTCGGGGTTGTTACTTTTAGGGGCTGTAATTAGAAATAGAGGTTTTGGTTTAAATGAGGGATCCTAAACTTATCTGTGGGCCATAGGCCTATGTAAAGGTAGTGGTAAGCTTATGAACATCGAGAGCACTCATAAGCTTCCTTCCTACTACTTTTCCCTAGGCCTATGCTGTTGGTCAATCGACGGAATTATGATTAAGCTTAGGGGTGCTGTGATTCAAGAGATTCATAAATGTTGCATCTAATACAACACCATTGTAATTGAGGGCATTCTTGAGTAGATTTGACCTAGGATGAAGAAACTACATAGGTGACCACGGGCTTTGAAAATTCAACTAACAGTTGCCAGATCAACGTACTATTTTATGGCTCATTAAATATAAATAGTACCTGCCACTATTTCATTCATATTAAAATGAATTTGCCATCAAAATTAGGTTAAATCATCGCCTTTTACCCAACATATGACATCATGAATACCATCAAAATGCAGTCTAATACTGAGTGAGCCAAAAATGTAGCCTAAGCAAATTCCGCATCTGTTAAAGTGTTATTTCGCATAATAAAACCTTGTTTAATGTTCTTTCATTTTACTAAGTTTAATTGGCCCTGCCCAAATAGTCGGGATTTTATGGCTATAATACGAAACATGGTCCAAAATACCAGCCTCATCTCATGACTACGGGCTATCTCTGAGATAATGTCAACCCCTACAACAAGTTGGAGAAAAGGTTCTGTGACGGTGAACTTATAACCTCAACCGACCAGTGCAGGTCTGCCTGAAGGGACGAGGCTGAAATTTGTAGAATGGCCATAGAATTTTGACCATGAGAAATGGACCCATGAAACATGGTAAAATGCAAAAATATTTTAAATGGTAAAATTAACTAGATATGATTTCAACTCATACTGGATGAATGAGTGAATAACATTTCTTTGGATGACATTTTTGTCTCACCCTGTAATTCATTTTATTTTCACACTTATTCATTTCAGCCTGCCCTAATATAACCAGGTTGAATAGCCAAAACCAGGCACATGTAATTACAAAGAACTATTCAGTATACAAATAGCTCTACGTGAATGACACAACTGTTTTATACACAAACAATACAAGATAAAATACAGGATTAATGCATTGATCCATAACGCTGAGTAAGTCACTATCCGAGTGTTTGAAACAGTGTAACAAACATATTATTTATGACACTTAGCTGCCCTCTTTTCTGTTATGGTATAATATTAGTATAAAGCACTTAATAATTTCAGAAAAAATATGAAAAAATCACGAAAAAATACCAAAAAGTAGGTTCATAATTAACTTTTCCCCTTTACAGTTTAAATCATGTCTAAAAGTTCAATAAAACTTTGCACTAAAAATTATAAAAAAGGCCTGCATTTTTGGTGAAAATTGCGTCAGAATTAGTCAAAATTGGTGAGGATGGTTGGATTAGGGACAGCTTAAGAGATAATCTATTCAACTTGATTATCATCCAACTGTCATTTATTGAAGACAAGACATGGATGTAACATAACCATTTGTTTTTATGGTTAAAGTTTTCTTAGAACTAAAGATTTAGCCCTTTGAAAATGCTTGCCATATCTTACATAGTCCTTTAAGATAAAAACAATGTAAAAACTACACAAATAACAGATAGATAGTATTGAACTTACAAACGCCTAAACTTTCAAAAATTGATTTCTCAGTTTTTACAAAAATGTGAGTTGGGACATTTTTATTTTCATACGGCGATGTATGAAAAGCTTGCAATTATCTACCTGTCTCTTTCGAAGATCAAATTGAAAAAAGGTTATTGTCCTGGGTTCGAATATCAAATAAGAGTTTGGGGTTACAGTCAGGATTACAGTTACATGTAGAAACGACGGTAGAGTTAGGATTGGGTTAAGGTAAGAGACGACGTTAGGATTAGGGCTAGAGCCAGGAAAGAAATAAAAATATTATGATAATTAATTAATCCAGTCGTATTATCTCTTGAATTAATTCAAATTCCAGACGGACTATTCAAGCATATAATCTCTTGGATAAATCCAGACGAACATATTCCGGCGTCTCTAAGAATTAATTTGAATTCCAGATGAACAGATTCCGGCAAATGATCTCACATGAGGGGAAACGGATCCTAAAGAACTTTAGACCTATTCAGAATCCGAATTCCCGCAATGAACACTACTTCCGACATTGAATACAAACAACCGCCTACTACAGAACCTTTTGCAACAGAAACGCCTACTACACAACCATCTACTACTAAACGTCTACTACAGAGCCGCCTACTACAGAACCAATTACTACACAACCGTCTACTAGAAAGCCGCCTACTACAGAACTGCTTACTATACAACCGCCGACTAACTCAGCATCTTCCTTCACAAGTGTCACTTTTTGCTTGGTGTGCCATAATAGTGTGTATGGTTTCAAGGATTCTCCTGTGTTGCTAACTGGCATGTTTAGAACTTTATCCCAGTATACCTGTATACTGAAGGGCGTCCATTGCCTTATGTTTCACATTATTCCAGTATATATACGTTGTACTTTTGTTCTTCTTGCCCATACGCTGCGAAAAGTTGTCACAATGATATACACGGTATTCTAAGACTCAATTCCATGCAAGAATTCCATCAAATCCATCTCGCTTTTGAAAATTCGAAAAGGAAAAGTATCTGATCTTCAATCTTTGAGCGTAAACAGGCATGAGCCTTGCTAGGCAAGTACCTATATATAACCAAAAGTTTGCAAAAATGTATTCAGACGATGTATTTTTGTATTAAAATTTTTGTTTGTAAATAGACCCCAAACAGTTGTTTATGTCAACTAACCCAACATGTTAACTCATCAATATATATATCTAATGTCAACTCAACAAATTGTATATCTTATGTCAACTCAACAATATCAAATATCGTCTCAACAATATTATTTATATAGCTATTCACTTTATTTATTTCTATTAACAATAATCACTGAAAACACCTTACAAAATATTTTTGCTAGCCTACACATCCTATGGGTCTTTCCAAATAGCATAAGCTCATATTTGTTTTTAAGTATGTGAGGCAGACTCAAATTAAAGGGACATTAAAGTATTGTAACCAACACATCTTATGGGTCGTTCCAAATTTAACACTTCAAATGAAGCATTAGCTCATATTTGTTTTTAAATATGTGAGGCAGACTCAAAGGGACATTATACTGCAACTGTGATGACATACTAGCACAGTGTCATTCTAATAATGTAAGGTATTGTATCTGTACAATTTTGGCGAGGCAATGCCTCACTTGCCTCAACAGCTTTTGGAAAAATGCTTTCCTGCACTTTACCGCACCTTGCCTTGGATATATATCCTTTTGTTTCCACAAATGCTTTGAAAGATTTCATCTTCGAAAATGTACATGTAAATATATATATGGAAACCCGATTCTTATTTTGTGCATTGTACAAATAGGGACTTTTTCAAATCATGATGTTTATTATGTCATATACTCATTGTTCACAACAACGTACAGTAAAACCTGTATACTGAATACCTCTCTAGTCTGTAAACTCGTTTTCTCAGTCTCTAATTTGTTATTTTCCATAGACTCACATAATTGAAGAAATGAAATGTGAACACCTGCGTACTGAACAATATTGCCTGATCCCAGTGGTGTTTGGATTAGATAGGTTTTACTGTACAGGGTGTTCGGGACACCATGTCCATGGGATTTTGTACACTCTCATAGAATTGCCATAAAGGTGTACCCATGCCCACTTGCCCAGGGAATTCAGAGATTCTACTGAAACCCTGCATAAATCGTAAAATACATACCAATATGGTTTAACAATAAGACAATGAGCAATGGATAAAGGAAAACCAAAATTTAGACTATTTTCAGTTCGTGATTGCATTAACTCTACTGAGGAACTTATCAACTAGATGGAGGGGTCTTCATGGCATGGATGTCATTTGACCAATCTTGCATTTCTGAATTGCCCACGACGACAGTGGTGCATTGCTAGTAGGTAATGAGTTTCCCCCGAAGGTGTCAAAAAAAAGAACAGAAAGCCCCGTAGCGCAAATAACATGGTCGCATGTTTTCAACAAAAAATCTCATTCAAGCACACTAATGCCTGGGTCACACTCACATATGCTCCGATCCATCGGTCGGCGCCCGGCCGATTGAGTGTTTTGCTCAATATTGTATTCAATTTTGAGCAAAATACTCAATCGGCCGGGCGCCGTAGTGAAAATCTGAGCAAATGTGACCAAGGCATTACTCACATAATCTTTTTGAAAGACATCACGGTTTATTGCAATCGAACTCTTGTGGTGTACTAGCAACAAGCCGGCCCCGTTGACACATGCGACAAGGTTGTCACAGCTTAATTAGCGGTTTAAGTGCGCTTGGATGAACTGTTTTTGTTGAAAACCTGTGAGCATGTAATTTGCAAAGCATGGTCTCATTGTTCATTTTCGGGGTACCCAGGGGCGATACTTATTATATACTATGCAATGCACTCGTCTGTGGGAAGTTCAAAAACGCACTCCAAGACTCATTCCGATTTGCCACATGACCAAAGTTACATGGTTTGGGTAACAATGTAACAAAAATGTAATGTTAATTAATTGTTACATTTGAAGGAAATAAAGTCATGTGAAAAAAAGAAAATCAATGGAGGAGATTGAGTTGATAATCTATTGCTTATTTTTTATATTTTAACAATAAATAACTCTAAGAGGCTATATTTTCATTGCCCAGAAGAAGAGTCAATTTTGACACTATGATATTTTCCTAATATTGCATCAATTCCTCAACTTCCATAACTTGTGAAATTCAGTAGTAGTACACAAATAAAAAACATGTAAATGCCACTTTTTGTTCACAACTATTAAATTTGTCATTCTCATATTTTCTTCAAGTCTAAGGTAATGTACAATTCTCTAGGTAATTTAAATTAGCCCAATGTAGATTTCATAGGTTTCTTATCAAACCAGAGAATATAAAATAAAATTCTTTTTAATATCTCTGATCTAACCAAGTAGGAAATTTCCTACATATATGCATGTCAGGGAGACTATGGTATGCATATTTCACCTCAGTGAATTTCCTACAAAAGACGTATGTGCAATGAGAATATGGTATGTACATTTCATCTCAGACAAGTTCCTACATATGTGCGTGTTAGGGAGACTATGGTATGTTCAATCCACCTAAGTCAATTTTCCTACATAATGTGCTCTTTAGGGACACTATGGTATGTACATTTCACCTAAGTACATCTTAGGGAGAATATTGTATGTACATTTCATCTCTGTAAATCCAGTACAGTACATATCTTGTGCGCCTAAGTTACATTTCCTAGAATCTTTTGCATTTCTTCATGAGAAATGGCACTGATAAATATACTAAATTTCCTAATATGGTCATCTGTTGTTAGGTGATTCCATCATTGTATCTATAGTCTACTGTTGCTAGGACAACTGTGATGTCATCAGGTTTACCCCCTGAAAAATAAAATTGTGAATAAAGTGTTTAATTTTTTTTTCTACTTTGCAATACTATGCATTTACAATACCAGAATACATGGTTGATTTCCAAATGAAAACTATATTTTTACAAAGGCTTGATCTTCACTTTATCTTCTTCTCTACGTATATGTAAGGGACAATCCTATCTTTTCACTCATTATGTATAGGAAAGCCCTATCTTTGCCTCAATATGTACAGAAAAATCCTCTCTTAAAGTCGACACATAATGATAATTATTGGTTTTATGGGGGTACATACCTTTAATACCTTCTATACCATGAGCCTCAGCATTCATAGAAAATGGCGACATATAATCTGGATCAAAGGAGAGGTCTCGAGCACATTCAGCTAACCTATTGGCTGTGTGTTGTATACTTTCCCGCCTACGATCCTAAGAGCAAGAAAATGTTTAATATGAATGAATAGGAATTTGACTCAACTTCCACCTATCAAGTTCTGTACTTCTACTTAATTTGGTGGCCGTTTTAATTTTGCAAATCCGCCAAATTGTTAATGTCCACCAAACAATGTAGCGGCCAAATTCAATATTTCATATTCCAATCATAAATATGTATCGAATATACATTTCAACATTGAATTCCGCCGAATCAAGTAGCTGCCAAACATTTAAGACAGCAAATTCTCCAAAATAAGTCGCGCCAAATTAGGTCGAAGTACAGTAAAACCTACTTTAAGCATGAAAACATGAGTCTACATAAGGTATTAGGATGAAAAATGTCACCAACTGCCATTTGTTACAAACTTCAACCACTGAACATCAACTGCTGAATGCCAACTGCTGAACACCATCCACAAAAACGTGAGGAGAATATAAGAAATATGTCACCGCTTTTGGTGGTGACAAAAATAGTTGAACATCTTACAATAAATATAAAGAATTGAATAAGAATAAGCAAATTTCTAACTTCTGTTTCAACAAGGCAATTTTTCAGTGTACATACTTTTAGTTTACGTAAATGTTCTAGAATCATCTCATCAGTCATGTTATCAAAGAGTCCATCTGTCCCCACTAGGATGATGTCACCTTGTTGCACGTTGAATGATGAGCTTTCAGCAGATTCAGGACTGAAAAATATAGAAAACTTGTATTTGAATGGTGAGCTTTCAGCAGATTCAGGACTGAAAAATACAGAAAACTTGTATTTGAATAGTGAGCTTTCAGCAGATTCAGGACTGAAAAATACAGAATACTTGTATTTGAATGGTGAGCTTTCAGCAGATTTAGGACTGAAAAATACAAAAACTTGTATTTTAATGGTGACCTTGCAGCAGATTCAGGACTGAAAAATACAAAAACTTATATTTGAATGGTGAGCTTTCAGAAGATTCAGGACTGATAAATATAGAAAACTTGTACTTGAATGGTGAGCTTTCAGCAGATTCAGGACTGCAAAATACAAAAACTTGTATTTGAATGAAGAGCCTTCAGCAGATTCAAGGCTAAAAAATACAACTTTTGAAGTATGAAAAACCAGCAGATTCAGCACTGAAAAATACAAAGATCTTGTATCCGTTAAAATATGAAATATGCGAGGGTTCAAGACTGAAAATTATGAAAACTTGAACATCTGAATTTCTGCTACAAGATTGCATGATTTATTTCTGAAACTGAACTACAAAATTTCAAATAATGAACAAATCAAAACAACAGATGCTATCATTACATAACAGGATTCATGAGATACAGTAACACATGTTGAGTGGAACACCTCTGTAAGTGGAACACCTCAGTGAAGGGAACACTTCACAGTCAAACACTCTTCTGAGTTCCAAGACCAACTGACTTAATCTTAAATGAACCTCTATAAGAACACCTCTAGAAGTGGGACACTTTTCAGAGTCTCAAGACCAACTGACTAATCTTAAATGAACCTCTATAAGTGGACACCTCCAAATGAACACTTTTTAGACATACCAAAGGTGTTCCATTAAGACAGGCTTACTGTATACGGTATACCATTATACAAAAAAGTACTTCTTAGATATAAACATGTACATCATACTTCCTTCAAACCAGACAACTCTATCTGCTCAACCACTTTATGTAATTGGCTCATAAGGAGGTTGCCCTTGGGTTTAACATTAAAGGTTCTCTAATTGGTATCTGATTAATTCAAAATCTAATTAATGAATTATGATAAAAGGCAGCTGGTACTTTGATTGAAATGTCTGTATTTATTTCTTATATTTAGAGTTTACATTTGCAATATCTATTTCAGACACAAACATTTTATTTCAATCATTAGCAAGCTAAGAAATGAAATATTCTGAAAAAATATTCAAAAAGGGGCAGCAAGGCAAGACTAATTAACTATCTTTTACATCTACGATTCCTTCTTTTGAAAAGTTATTAATTTAATAAGAACTTTTTAATGAGGTTACATTCAAATTATTTCAAATTTTAACAAGGGCAACCTCATTTTGGACCAATCACAAGATGTAGGCTAAGCAGGTAATTTATTTGGTAAACAGAGTCAGATATATTATAAATGGAGTCAGTTCTTTAGCATTTAAACAACTTTTGGGCAATTCTACTTCCAGGTCATATGAAAGTTTGGTGAAAATCCCTTAAAGTTAGATTATCATAAACTGATACTAGATGGAGAATTAAATTGGCGATCTTGTATCAGATTGAAGAATAACTTTAATAAAAGCTACTGTTAATTGACTCCAATATCAAGAATTTTCAGGAACTGACCTATCACTTAATACCAAGCCTTGTTGACTGGGGGGTGCAGCTGCTAATTGGTACGGCGTATTGAAATAGTGTTGTTGCTCTTCTGATCTGTGGACAAACTCCCCATCACGGCATACAAGGAATCCAGAGTCTCCTAGATTTGACGTGTAAAGGGTTTCTTCCTCTTTGTGAAGGGCAACAATACAAGCTGTGCAACTTCCTATAAGAACAAAATGACACAATGTAACCACCTGATTACCTATTGCAAGGGGTTACAAATGTGTAACGATTTGTTACGGATGCCAACAGCTGATTGATGATGTAAAAAGCCAGTCACAAACAAAAACAAACTTTAATATACAGTCTCCATGAAGCCGCTTTACAATAACAATATAAAATCTATTTAAAGATACTTTACGGTCACTCTGTATCATTTGGTGTTAATGTTATGAAAACTCATAAAACAAAATATGAGAGTATGAATGGTGTGTGTGTTTGTGTGGGGGGGGGGGGGGGGGAAGGGTAACGCAATGGGTTTTAATGCCTAAATAAGTCAGGTTGGACTGATGTAGTAGTTTTAACCCAAGAAACTTCAAGTGGACTGAGTAGCATTTAATACAGTGAAAAGCTTGGAAGAGGTAAGAGGAAAATATTGTTAGATGTCTCAACTTTAGAAATTCGACATTTTTCGAAGGGGGGGGGGGGGGGGGGGGCAGTAATTCCTAAATCTAAAGCTCAACAGTTAATAGCATAGTTCCTTACAATGATAAATATACAAAAAGTACAACAAAGTCTAAAATAAACACAAAAGTCTAAACATATATCCAATATTATAACTAAACCTGTTCATTGTAGTTGATCAAAAATAAAAGCACATGTTTCACTTATATCTAACACAAGGGAATGTTCTATTATAGATTTGGCAGCTACTTATCATGTTAACCATGGAATTATTAATAGAAACAGAATGAGGTTGTAAATTAGTTTTGCTGGCCTTTGACTAAAGTTGTATACTAACCTTTCTAAACTGATGTTTATGATTTATGTGTAAGACAGAAGTTAAATAAACATTTTGAATGGTTTTTAGTATACAAACTCAATCAAAAAAGAAAACATACTGTACTCCCATTAATATTTGATGCTATTATATTTCGCTTTTTTTGTGATTTTGAAATTTCGCTGATATTATATTTCACTAATTTTTAGTTTTTTGAAATTTTGCCTCTATTAATTTTCAGGGTAGTTGACTCAAAATGTGTCTTGCTTCTTTTATTTAGGTTGGCGATTACTTTAAGTACATTTTTTAAGTTTAAGTGGGCTTGTCATGCAATACCACACTTTCATTTAATCTTGAGCAATTTTGTGAGAATGTTCACTTAATTATGATCTTCCAGAATCCGAATGTAAGAGTACAGTAACCTCCCAACGTTTCATCGCCCAATACTGGATGAAACTATCATCAACATTGAGTGAAAAAAATATATACTCCTTTTCATCAATTACAAGCTTACCTATCATTGGCATCTTATTTTGAAGCACCTCGGCATAACCACTTGCCATAATTTCCTGTGGGTTGTTGGGAATGAACCTCCCTTCCTTCACAATACGTTCACATGTTAGCATAAAACTCTGAGGGAACACAGAAGGGTCTATCCCATAATTCCTCCATCCTCCTACTCCATCGGCAACACCTGGAAGGAAATTCACAATTGATTCTACTTGTTTAACCCTTTCCTGATGTGAATTAAAGAAGAAAATGTTGGTCCTGGTGATTGTGACGGATAAGTAAGAGCGGTTTTTAAAGGAAAACTGCAAATTACCTACGCCCCGGGACCTTAATACCTTGAATTTTATCACTGAAATACATTTTTTAGTAAGAATTTGCAGAATTCCACCCAAAAAATGAAAATATGTAGCTCTAATGGCCTCGTTTCATTGGTTAAACATGTGGAGAGTAAGGCAGCCTCCTCTTATAAATTAATTAGGCCTAATTATAGAGTATGAGTCAGGAAGGGGGTGACTTAATAAACTTAATCATAATGACATATTCAATTCAATTCAATTTATTATTCAATTCTAGTTTTCATACAATATTAATTTACAAGTGATATGAAAAGGACACCCCGACAATGTAAAAGCCATTCTAGATTCCCAATTTCTTATTTTTGCCGTTCTACTGACGAAATGAAGCAGTGAAATGGACTCTAGGTGAATTGAGATTTCGATAAAATTTATCCTACAGTGCTGATATATAATAATAAAGGGTGCGTTTTCAAACTAAACAGAGTGCTCCTACCAAAATGAATTTGCCTACATACCCCTGGAACTCTTGCTGCCATCGAACTCAAATGTCAGTGTCGACAGTCGAACTCTGCTGTCGAAAATATTGTCGACAATCGAACTTTCCAGGGAGAAAAAATCATCGGGAAGTAATTGCCTAATATTGTTACTAAATGCCAAGTTAATAGAATATTATAGACGAAAATGGGACAAATACCTGCAATGTTTCGACCGGGATTTATTTCGACTGCTCGGGCGAAATCTCGTACAACGTCTCGCAAGAGAGAAGAGAAGTCATGAAGGGAACTTCCGGGTGAATTTATTTTTTGAAAATGAAATGAATGTGAACAATATTTCCGCAGAATACGCGCACATAACACGTTGAAATGTGTATTGAAATGTATTGGGGCCATTTGGATATTTTCAAGTAAGTATTGATATCGTTTGCTGTCGACATGACGGGAATTTTTGTCGACTTCGTTGTCGAACTTGCATTTTGACTGACAAGTCGACGTTCCGACTAATGATGGCAGCCCTATTAAAGAATGCACAAATAGAACAAAAGTTTTGCTATCATAGATAAAAAGTTGTCTTGAAATTTCGAAGTGATTTTACCTGTTAATTCTGTCCATGGTCCGCCATTTTTGCGAAAGTAACACTGAACCGCAAACTCCATGAAACAAAACGAAATCACTAGAAAAAAAACATGGCACACATTGTGCGCATGTGCAGCAAAGTTTAGACCAATCAGATTATTTGATTATTTTGCGCACATGAATTATTTGCTTCTGAGCACTTACAAGCTTACCACAATAAACAAACCTGGCAGAGACTACCCTTAGCCTACTTCATTTTGGCGAAATTTCAGCTCAAACTCGTGACAAATGCATTATGCATACGCTGGTGTGAAACCTTGGAAACACTCATTTTGGTAAATATGATTTATGGGGTATACTTTTCTGCAGTTTGTGGGAGTTTGGGACATTAAATGTCAAAATTCAAGAAAATATGCCAATTAAACGACTGATCAATTATATATACCAGCACTGTAAAGACTTAAGATTGTACGAATTTGCCAAGCATGACCATGAAGAAATATATCAGGATTGCATCGCGGCTCATACAAGTGCACGGCCCCAGAACCGCATGACAATAAGAAAGAGAAATGGAGAATATTAGGTATATACATAACAAAAACTCAGGTTCAGCTGAGGTGACGAAGACTCACCCAAAACATCTGAAGATTTATGTGAAGCTATGAAACAAGCATCATCTCCATATATCCATCTTCTCTGGACCTGACTCGGCGTGATCGACTTTGCAAAGCCAGCGGTCGCAGACACAAGTTGAAGGTTCCTCAAAGGTTGTGGTTGTGTGGAACAAAATTTGGAATTTTGTTTTTGATGAGTGAGTTCGTTACTGAATCCATTCCAAACGGCTCGTGCTACTAACCGCCCGTATAGAACTACGGATTGCATTGCATATCAAGATTTATTTGATCATAATTTGATACCTATGATTCGTTAATATTATGTCGAAAATCACTAAAATCTACGATGTTTGTAATTTTATGAAAATTAAATCGCCATTTTGTCCTGAGTGACCTTGTGGAAAAGGTCAAATTTCGACCAATCAGAATACAGGATTTAAATTCCGCCTCAAAATACAGAAATTGTATCCGTGCGGTAAAATTATTTTTTCAGGCACACACGGTCATTCTAAACAAAAAGTCAAAACCTAAGACTATTCTCGGTTAAGGATTTTCCAGGGAGTTGAGTCTTTTCTAGTAGATCTTCTCAAGTCATCTTGACCTTTCCAGAATTTGTCAACATTGCTGGGTATATTTGCATTGTTTGAGTAAGAATTCACCATTAGACGGCTTAGCCTATTGTTTGTCTACAGTGAAACCTTTATACTCCGAACACCTTCTCTTGGTAATCACCTCTCTACATAAACACGTTTTGTCAATGCGGTAGGCTGACAGTCGTTCCAGGGTATCTCAACATGAAGGGAATTTCTAGGGCCGGGTACATGGGCCAACCAGAAAGCCGTTTCCTTTTATTCCATTTTAATATCAAGCGTCGAGGCTTAATTAATAGGTAAGTTCAGAACCGCCTTTAAAGTTATTTATTCTTCAGAAGTTAGTAACTACTGCAGGCCTGTCAACTTGGGAACACCTAACATGAGTGACTTGGAAATGTTGAACACCTCCCCTCAAAATGTGGACACCTTGGTCCAAATCTGAACACCTTGATCCAAAGGAGGTACGAAAAATTTCGAACGGAATGCGTGACATATCCGTAATTCGCGTGAAAAGTCCGAACGAAATGCGTACGTTTTTTCCCGTCGTTCGTATTTTTGCTGTGTAGACGATCTTTTTTAGAAAATTTTCTACAGAAAGATTTTTGCTTGACAATTACCAGGTAAATTGCGTATTTGCGTGACTTTTTCTGTCACGCAAAAATAACTGGCGTGACTTCAAATTCTTCAGCAAATGCGTGACAAATACGCAAATTGCGGGACAGTTGACAGGCCTGCTACTGAAGTTAGATGTCAGGACAGGATGTCAGCAGACAAAATTTTATTGTGACTTGCGTTATTCATGGTACTGAGAGTACATTAAGCAAAAAGAACAAAGGATGGTGGGTATTTCCAAGGAGTGAAGATAAAATCAACATTGTTTACAAATTAATATATTTATTTATATACAATATATGCATACAAGATGAATACAAAAATATGCAAAATAAAATGGAAACGTCAATAACGAGATTATATAACTTACATCATGAAACAACATAAACTTTTTGAGTAGTCAATTATGATAATTATAGGATATCCTATGATTTTGAGGAATATCATTTTTATCTACGAGGTGATGTTGATATCTGCACGAGAGAGCAAAGCGAACGAGTGCATATATCAATATCACCGAGCAGATTTAAATGATATTCTGCAAAGAATCATAGGATGTTCTTATTATCCTACACTTACAAGGATTGTACTAAATGTTTAATATCATTGCAAATTGAATTTCATGCCAAATAGAGTCAATTTGGCGGGAAATCAACAAGCGGAGTATATCGTCACAATATCCTCCGCATATTGGGTTTTCTGGAGTATATCGTCACGATATCCTCCACCCGGAGTATATCGTAACGATATCCTCCGGTTATTCATTTTGCCAATAAATATCAAATTTATTTTTTAATGTTATTAAACATTTAGTACACTAAGTGTAGGATAATATATTGATATCAAGTATCCATAGCAATCAAAAATGCAATCCCTTATCAGTCTATGTTTAATTTTCTGAAAGAGGCTTGTGGTCCAACGTCACCAGGTTTCTTCGTTTCATCATAGGTCATACCCGATGACGTAATGTTCCAAATCTTATCTCGCACAGCCTTGCTGTTTAACGCTTTTTTATAGCTTGCTGAAAGAAAAGTAATAGGTGATTTACCACTATATTCTCCAAGATATCAATGGATTCCGACCGATTAATATCCGAGGAAGAAAGATGTTGCATGATTAACTACAAATTCACGTGTTTTTTCCTGACAGACTGGTCAGGAAAAAATATTTGAAAAATCTCTGAATCTTTGAAAAACTGTAAATTTTAGATCTTATATTCCCGAAATTTTATAAACTTACCGATCGCGGGTATTTTATTACATTAATTTATGCGCAAATAATAAATAATGAATTAAATTTTATTATCATTTGTTTTTATCATTGAAATTTAAGCAGCTTTCAGAGCAAAAATTTTATTTCATAATTAATTTTTGTATTAATATGTTTTATCATATATAATGCAAGGCCTCTGTATACATAATAAAATGCTTCATATTATGAGCAACCCTGACGACAGGATCTTTACGCGCATATATTTTCAGAAAACATCCATTTTATAGCATACAGTATCTCAATCCATTTGATAAACTGTTCGAAAAAATAAAATTACTAGTATCACAGATTTTCAAAATAAATGAATAAAAAGCGCCCTCTTTTTCAAAATTTTTGATAGTTGGATTTGGTTCGCTTCAAAACATCCTGGGAAAAGTTCTGGACTAAAAAACACAATAGGATGACATTCTGCAATATAGAAATTAAAATATAAAAAAATATAAAAATATAAAAAATATTTAGTATTTCTATTTTCTAACCTTGAATCGCTGATAGTGATCCTTGACAAGGTCCAGTATACTCATCAGGGAGATATTCCCGGGGCAGCAATCTCATTGGGATATGTTTATATACGTCTTCCATGTTATTCCCATATAGGAACATCTGAAGAAATAATCATGATACTGTAATAACATCATGTTGAGAATCCAAATCGCAATCTTGTTAAAATGCAGCAATTTAGGACTGCATCCGTTTCTTTATTGTATTGTCCTGGTTCCTTCTGTGTAAATAGAGTCAACTAAAGGTTCTAACAAAAGCAAGCCCAAATGTCCTGTTCAGGAACCCCTATTCTTACTATTGGAAATGGATTCTACCAATACGCACATAATTCACACAATGTAGATAAGTCAAAGACACCCATGGCAAAATCCTCATTTTCTCAGAAGAACTCAAATTGATCCCAAGTCTCTACAGGTACATTCATGTGGAAGAGTATTGGTATAATCTATTTACAATAAGTAAGAATACGGATTCTTAATCAGGACATTGAAACTAACTTAAACATTTGGGTTAGTTCTAAAACTAATGGGATGCTGCCCTGTCAATCCTCACACATTAGGCATGATTGTCACACATTTGCTGGAAAAATTGAAGTCACGCATCAATTTTGCGTGTATGATAAAATGTCACGCAAATCACGCAATGGTGATATTTCATGAAAGACGATCTATGAAAACCTTTTGGACAACTACCGTTTAAATTCGATATATTAATTAGTAAATGTAATCAAGAGGGGGAGAAACCCCAGGGTTCAAAGATGACATACGCTTATTTGTAAATCTGTATTGAGATGACATCGTCGCTGATTGGTTTAGCGAGCCGATCGTTGATTGGTTTAATTTAAAACTAGGTCAATTTGAAATTTTTGAAAACCAAGATGGAGGGTAAGAACTTCCGGGAAAGGAGGTGCGCAAAGGAGGAAATCGTATGTCATCAATTGAATCATGGGGTTTTCCCTCCTCTTAATGTATTCTATGGTTTACCCTGTCCTGAATCTTCTGGGGTAAAAACGGTTTTAATGCACTGATTATTGTCTGGGCCACTACTGCAGCGTTGTAAAAGTGCCAACCTTTCATCCTGATCGGATACTTGTTCTAAAACACGACGTGCACACAATGTTATTTTCGATATTTCCATTTTCACCAAAATGTAATGTTCGCAATGCATAAATCTATTTGGGGGGGGGGGGCTCAGGTTAGAAGGTTTATTATGCATAATTCAGGAGCACAGTTATCAATAATTCTATTTTCTAATTTTTGTTGTAGATATAGTCAGCTCATTCTGCGATTTGCCTTTTGGATTTATCCAAAATTTTGCTTTGCTTCTACACAATATTTATCAGCTATTGTAAGAAGCTTGTATCACCTACACCTATTTTTTCAGACTGTGTTACATTTTTTCTCTTATATATTAATCAGAGTAACCAAGCTTACACACTTGTAACTACATCGATGTGATCATGTTAAAAATGAAAAGTATACAGGGTGTCTCAAATGTGACAAGATGATCTGATTATACGCACCATAAAAAAAGAAAGTACTTTTACAAGATTATCCAATCCAATATAAGTCATCACTTTCGGTGTTACATTTGTCTGATCGTCTATCACAACTATGCCATTAACCTAAAATAAAGTCATATATAAATATATTATGATAATCATATCATTGATAATGTATAAATATGATATACAGTAAAACCAGTCATGATGAACATCGCTCTCTCTAATGAACACCTGTCTTAGTGAACGCATCACTCTAATGAACACGAATCTTAATGAACGCCTCACTCTAATGAACACCAGTCTTAGTTAACGCCTCGCTCTAATGAACACCTGTCGTAGTGAACACCAGTATCTAACGAACACCTTCGCACAAAATATGACCTTCTGTGAAAGTATTTCTATAATTGAAATACTCAGTTCTGAAATATTGAGAACAAAATTATTAAAACAAGTGCACGGAAACTGTTTAGGTTATGCCTAGGTCACATAGCCGCCGGGCGCCGGCCGATGAGTAGTCATCGGCCGATTTCTAAATCGACCGGGCGCCGGTGACTTTTCACCGATGTCTTGATCTAATCGTGAGTATGGTCACATTAGTAAAGACATCGTACGCAATCTGAAAGACATCGCACGGGTATCGCAAGGCTATCTGCCGATGGCCGTGCGGCACCCGCCAGGACATCGGTCGATCTACAGGCCTCTAGACTTATACTAAATTCTTGTATGACCCAGTATGACTGTTCCACATGGCGTGAATGCAAGATTTGAAAACGAAATACTTCGATAGACAGGACTTCCAGGATAATAATGTTTTCATGCAATAAAAATCAGAAAAAGAAGATCCTTTTTTTGAGTAAATAGGTTCAATATTTAGAAAAAATGCTGACATGGGGTCCCTATTCATAATTTTTCAAATTGTTTGATTGATATTTTTACTATCATGGGTTCTTCAATTGAAAGAAAACATATTGTTTTAATAAAAACACTGTATATATGCCCAGAAAGTACTCATGGTGAAAGATATGACCGTCTAAAATCACTTGCCGTAATGCACGTGGTCTTTTTATCAATGTGCACCCTGACCTTAATTCATTTTTAGATCTTTCATAAACAAATACTATGTCTACCTGTCCATCCGATGCTATTTGCAAAATTCCATATTTCTGCATCTTTCTTTTGTCTGTTCTCGTAAAGAGAATTCGTTTGGTCATAAAAATATGGCCTATCTTCAAAAAAAATTTGGCAATTTTTTCTTCTATTTCAAGTGGAGTACCCTCTTCCCTAGACACATCTAAATCTTCATCATCCACCAGCTCACCAGCATTGTTATTGTCTTTTTCCACCTGTCTTCCCAAGGCCTTCCTCATATATGGCCCATTGACCTTATCCCATCTATCCTTAGCCTTTGGCATATTAACTGTAATTGAGACAGTGAACTTGAAGATTTTTAAAATAAATGATTTGTAATGGTATATGCATGAGTGAATATACGCATAAAATGTATCACTCTATTCAATGTGTATAATGTCAATATAAGAACGACTAGATCAACCCACCCACCCAGCCATTCAATTGTGTGCCATTGTTTAGCCTAATCGTTCCATTTATGTTTTATAAAAAATCTCTGACAGTGTGTAGTAATTATAATTCCTTACCTCATTATTTTAAAACCTTTATATCACTTTATAAGTAATCATTATTAAGATTTTTCAAACAAATCAGCACGCAAAATCCCAAGATGACCCTGCGATGCCGCCGGGCGCCGTAAGATAATCGTACGATGATCGGACGGGACACGGCCGGGTAGGTACCGATGAGTTTGGTTGAGAAAAAATCGCCAAGACATCGGCAACTTTTATCTCCGCGATAAGACTCTGCCGGCGCCCGTACGATGTCTAAAAATCGGCCGATGAGTGGCGATCATCGCCCGGCGCCCGTACGATGCCCGGGCTCGCCGGCCGATTTTGAACAAAATACTCATCGGCCGGGCGCCGTAGTGAAAATCGGAGCCTATGTGACCAAGGCATTAGTGTACCTTCAAGACCTGATGACCACCCTCCCCACAAGTGAGAAGGTGTTTTGTCAAGAAGAGGGGTGGGGGTCACAGAGGTTTGGAGCTAGACTAGCCTTTGATTGTTATATTCGAATAAATGATTATTAATGGTACGTTCACACCAACGGCGCTTTGATGGCGCTTTAAAGCGGCTTGTAAAGCGGCACCAAAGCGTAACAAAGCTTAATTAAAGCGTCGGGGTCGTAATAGGTCGTAGAAAAGCTCGGGAGTAAAGCGGGATATTCGGCAAGAGCGCTAAAAAATTTACACTGTTTAAGCGTTCGCACCAACGGCGCTTTGATGGCGCTTTAAAGCGGATTGTAAAGCGGCACCAAAGCGTAACAAAGCTTGATTAAAGCGTCAGGATCGTAATAGGTCGTAGAAAAGTTCGGAGTAAAGCGGGATATTCGGCAAGAGCGCCAAAAAATGTTAAACTGTTTAAAAATTTTGGGCGCTCTGTTACGAATTGATTGAAGCGCCGAGAGCGTATCAAAGCTTAACAAACCGTAACAAAGCTCAACAAAGCTTGACTCAAAGCGTAGGAAAGCTTAACACAGCTTGGTTCAAAGCGGGGACCCCAGTCTATTCACGGTCTGTTACCACTTGACACGCTTCGTTAAGATGTCTCAAGATTTGCTACGATCTGGCATGAAGATCTGACACGAGGTCAGACGCTTTCATCAATATCTGACACTCTTTAATACACTTTCCTGAGGGACTCTCAAGCTTTCCAACGAATTGAGACGCTTTAATCAAGGATTGAAACGCTTTGCTAGGCTTTGTTACGCTTGAAAGTTTTCACACGCTATATCACGCCGTGCGACAAACGTCATGTCATCTTCAGATAGGTCATGCTCTGGTCCATCTGGAATTTCTGGATCTCGTTGTTCTGCCATCGTGTTCTCGAGTCAAAGATGCAATGGTTTTATGGATCTACTGCATCTTTATATAGTCATTGGATCAAAAGCGGCATGGAATCGGCGATCTCGACATTTTCCAATGCGTGACAGAGCTTAACAGAGCGTAACAATGCACAACAGAGTTTTGCAATCGTATCAGAGCCTGATTTAAAGCGTCATAATCGCATCAAAGCGTAATAATGCTTATCAAAGCTTTTCAAAGCGTGATTTCAAGCGTAACAAAGCCTGATCAAAGCGGGATCAAAGCGCGAGGAACCTTTTAGAGCTATGTTAAGCTTTCCTACGCTTTGGATCAAGTTTTTCTGAGCTTTGTTACGGTTTGTTAAACTTTGATACGCTCTCGGCGCTTAATCGATTCGTAACAGAGCGCCCAAAATTTTTTAAGAGTTTAAAATTTTTTGGCGCTCTTGCCGAATATCCCGTTTTACTCTGAGCTTTTCTACGACCTATTACGACCCCGACGCTTTAATCAAACTTTGTTACGCTTTGATGCCGCTTTACAAGCCGCTTTAAAGCGCCATCAAAGCGCCGTTGGTATGAAGAAAAATGACAAAAATGACGGCGCTTTGCTCGCCGATTTAAAGCGTGGCATTCGCCGTTGGTGTGAACGTACCTGTATAGAGATTACTACCTTGTAGGTTTGAAGTACAGTATGTTTATAAAAGATTGTATTAAAAGATTTACATTATGAACTATTTTGAAGAAATAAATATGTCTTTAAAAGATGTACCTGCGTTGCTTCGTCAAACTGTACAAGGTAAGTCATGATTGCATAAGTCGCCTTAAGGATGTCAAAGTTCGTATATCCTTTGCCGCTTTTAATACAACCTGTATCATTATAAATAAAAAAGGAATTAATATTGTGTTCGGTCCTGTGTCCTTTTAGGGCCGTGTGACAGCAGATTGTTTAAATAATACCTCCCCTCAATAATATATATACCTCCCATCACAAATGAAGCAGGGTTCGTACATATTTTTCGAATTAAATTCCCTGAGATTTCAGTCAAAAAAAGGAAATTTCCAGATCTAGCGTTTTGCACAGCCTCCTAAAAAGTCTCAAACGGCTGTTTTTTAAAAGTCAATTTTTTATTATGAAACATTTTGGGTTCACCTTTAGTACCATACATAACTTTACTTCGTCTTATTTACCAATTTATTCCTGATACACTACTTTTGATTTTATTTACGTATTTTATATTGCTTAAGGCCAAAGGTAAACATACATGTACATCTTTCTTAAACAGCTCTTACTTAGTTCTAATAATTATTTGACCACAACAACAAATGCGTTTGGCCAATACGTTATATCTTCAATAAGGGACAATACAATAGAATGAAAGTAAAGTCGAACGGGTTATCTCTTAAATCCACCCATCTGATCATAACCAATTTTTCCCAGTTATTAGTGTTAGCCAATTTTCACCAAAATGTAGTATTTTATTCCAATTTTCACGACTAAATTGAAATGTACTAAAAGTCATGATTTACCTCTGAAAATGAAAAATGAGTCTCCTTTGGATTAGGATAATCCGAAAACAGTGAAAATTTGAGGTCAAGTATCTGGCCCAAAAGCAACAATTTTTGATGTGGTTAATGCACAAAAAGATTGGGGAATATTACATATTAATTGATTTCCAAAAGGAAAACAAGAAGGACTATAATAAGGATTATCTCATAATCCATTTGTCATAATGTTATTTTGTTATTTTTTTCTTTTTGGAAATCAATTAAGTAGTATCCCTCAATCGTTTTTGCGTTTGTCACATTAGATCTACGGCAGACGTACATGTAGCTTCACAAAATCGAGAGAAATATGATAGGGATAAGCAATACGATGTAGATTTTTTCGATTTTGTGATCGAACCTACTGGTCACAGGGCCGCCGTACGCCCATTGCTGAGCAAATGTGGCTGGACTTAAGACACAACCTGATTAGCCACTCCCCTAAACTCTCGGGCCATTTTAAAACTTATTCAGAGGAAAAAGCCCCCCGCCTTAAGACTCTCACCTGGTGTGTTAAGGATTATGCGTCGTCCTTCATCGTCAGGAATAGGAAGCGGAATTAACACACTGAAATCCAAATAACAAACAATATGATTGTGTACATTGACATTGGACAGTGTATTTCAATATTTGACATACTCCCCTCCATAAGTTTGGCAACCCTTTTCCCCATTGAACTACGTGTTAAAGCCTCTTTACCTATGAATTTTTATTTACTTAACCTGCGATGAAAATACTTAAATACTATTGATGGAAACGTAATTTGACTTTAATTCCAATACCTCCAAATTTTCTAAATTTTTTTCCTCAATTACAATAGGTCGAAAATTGATGATAAATTTGCTGAATTTTTGAAAATCGACATTCCCATGTTAACCAATGGGAAATGGTAGGTTTGCCACAAGTCATACGACAGAATATCCATCCATCCGAGTCCTTGCAAAAAATACGAGTTAGGCAGGCAATTGAATTTGCTAACTTTATTTAACAAAAAATTGATATGTTTCTTCAGGTTCAACAAAGTTATAGGGCTTTAAAGTCAAAATTGTTTTTCAAAAACCTCTCCCATTGAAATAACACAGGAGGCGAAAAATTATTTTCAAAAATGACTTTGAAGCGCTGTAACTTTAATATTCATCAAATAAACTAAACACTGTTCAAAAGAGCTAGACAATTCAATTTTCTATATGAAAATATTTTTTGCTGAATCGTTTACTGATTTCTGATTTGCCCCGAACCCTTAATTTCCCATTGGATTACATGGGAATGACGATTTTCAAAAATTCATCAAATTTATCATCAATTTTCGACCTATTGTAATTGAGGAAAAAAGTTGAGAAAATTTGAAGGGATTGGCAATAAAGTCAAGTTACGTTTCCATCAATATTATAAGTTATTCCATCTACGGTTAAGTAAATAAAAATTCAAACGTAAAGAGGCTTTAACACGTAGTTCAATGGGGGAAAAAGGTTGCCATACTTATGGAGGGGAGTATATGTAGCATATATTTTTGTATCTTAGAAATATTTGTTTGCTAATATCAAGTCTCCAAGTTATTTTCAATTTGACAAACAAGATACTGGATCCGAGAGGGATGCTCCGTGCGGGAATCGAACTTAGGAGCTCGGCCCCATAGTACGGTGCTCTTCCCCTTGGCCATAATGGCTAGCCACCAAAGCTGATCTGTAGTAGCAGCTTGGTATGATCGACCATGATGAACTCTTCAATAATTACCCGACTTCAAGCGCCGATTTTAAACTTTTACTGTGTGTGTCGATGTCTTTTCCCCAGAATGCCAACTTTGTACATATTACGGCAACATAATTCTCGATGAGAGCTCTGGCTTCAAGCTGACTGAATGCACTCCTTCTGAGGAACATTAACAGGAAACGCGTGTCTGGAATTTAAGTATTTTTTAAACCACACTTAGGTAGCAACACAATAGCATGGACCGTGTTATATTTTAAGAATATCCAGCTATAACAAAGAGCAGTGTATTATTCGTTTAAGAATGATGTACACTTGGCATTAGCTAGCCAAACCTAGTGTGGCACTAAGACGATTGACCGTCACATGTAGTGCACCAAAGCTGAATTGTTTCCCTATTCACTATTTCACGGTGAGCAACCATACCGCACCGGGGATCGACCCCGGTGCGTTACACTTAAATTGTAACGCTCCGGAGTGAAGAAAAATGGCGGACAATGATAAATGCATAATGGACGTGAGTAGAAATTTTTGATTTACGATGTTTCGTGATTAGGTACGAAGAACTCATATGTACCATTCAAAGTACAATATATTAAGGAATGATCCAGATCGATTAGATCAGTGATAACTAGCCTATATAATGCAAACAAGATGTAAAAGCACAAGCAACATTAAAATATTTTGATGTTTTTTATTCTTTTTATGAAATATACAGAGTATTCCTAGATTGTGCGAGAATATATCTTATCAACATGATCCTTATGGTTGCATGCAAAATTGTGTCAGTTTAGGAGTTAAATGGTGGTCAGTTTTATGAGATATCACTAAATCTAGTTGTAACGCACCGGTCATATTAGGCCAATATTTGGAAACGCACCGGTGCTTTATTCATTTGTTAATATTACCCTATATTATAGGTCATACTGATAACATAAGAACAATAATATTTCCAGATGTTCGGTATCGTACCTCTAGATCCCCCCTGGATGATGTACTGGAAGGTGGAAACACTTCGAATACGACGCCACCATATATTCAAATCTATAAATTTTAAAATGAGAATGGGAAAGGGTATATCTATGGAACTAGGGGCAAGACGGATTTTTTGACACACCCATTCACAAATGCATTGAGTGTAGTTCTACCCTACGAAACAATAACGCTTTCAATCGATTGGTACTGATGTTCAAAGTATACAATATTTTATTCATTTGGAAATGTACGGTTTAGTTTTTACGTTGATAATTGAGAAATAATTGTATAACATTTGCTGCAGGGTATAAGAACGGATACACACGAAATGTTATCAAAGTCACTGGTCAGTATCAAGATGCGGTAACGGCCGTTACTTTCTCATCTAAGATGGCGGATGGTAAATGTCGATTTCGATATATTTTGTTTTCATCGAATTAAACTACTTTATAGTTGACGTAATGCTTTGATATTTGAACTTGATAAATCTAAGATATCATGGAAACTTAGGAGTATGACCATTTATTCTTAAATCATACGTGGACGCCATAATTCAACTGTATGTTACACCGCTTAAGGGAAGGTAAATGGAAGTGAATTTTGCAAAATCAAACTCTCAGTTACCTTCCCTTAAGCGGTGTAACATATTATTGAATTATGGCGCCCGTGTATGATTTAAGAATAAATGGTCATACTCCAAAGTTTCCATGATATATAAGGCTTATCAAGTTCAAATATCAAAGCATTGCGTCAATTATACGTAGTTATCGAAATCGACATTTTTCGTCCGCCATCTTAGATAAGAAGGTAACGGTCGTTACTGCATCTTGATTCTGACCAGTGAAAGTGTCATATCTTTATCGCCTGTAGTATGTATTACCGTATTTTGCAAACTATCACATTTCGTACTTTGATTTTTTATGCATTTGTGTATTGTATAGGGTGTTTCATAATTACCCTCTCCCATCCAAAACCAATCCTAAATCACATTAGATTCTCTTAATCTATACATCATCATACAGCTTTTTTAATAATGCACTTATGGGCTAAATATTGGAACGAGTGATCGTTGGGACCATAATTTGTGGATTTATGTTTTGTCGTCACTATCATCCTAATTTGCTGGATTTATGGCTTCTATTTGTACATTGGGTTTAAAGAGAGGGACAAATAATAACATAATTATTCGTATCATTAAGAGCTTAAAAAAGAGCGTAAAAGCTGCTGAGCTTAATCAAAGCTGTTTTAATAAGTCATGAATTGATTGAGCTTTCCTATGATATTATAACACATGGAGGTGCGCAATCTAGGATTGGTGACTGACAGGGGACGGTCATTATGAAATACCTTGTTATGTGAAATGTACTTCCAGAGTGAGGGTTTGCTTCTAAAGCTAACAACCATACCTGTACGTCATGTTTGAGGTGGAACTAAGGGAATACCACCTCACAACCTCCAGGAAAAGAAGCTACGATATGTTATTCATTGGGAATTTGTCTTTCGCGAGGAGTCTTAGTAGCATAATGAATTCGGTGCAAAAACTGTGTCTTCTGAGACACAATATGACATTTGGTAGCAGTTTCATAGCACTTTCAATTTTAATGTCATAATCAGTGTGTGATTGTTCAAACAATGTTTTTCTAATTTTTGGCTTTTTTTTCTTTTCTTTGGTGCATTTTTCCTAGCACTTCTGATAGCCTTTGTATTAGCATTGATTGGTGTATTAAGTGATTTATCGTTAGTTGTGGCTTTTGTACAACCAGCGTCGCTTGGAGTGACGGTAGGTGCAATTTTCAGGCGTTTCTTGTATCTTGAATGCCCAGTTTGCAGTCCAGAACTTCTCCGTCGTTTCCTGTAAAAATAAAACCGGTGCGTTTCTAAATTGTCGTAGATTTGTGTCGGTGCGTTACCCCATCAATTTTGGAAGGTACATTTCATGAAAATAAATGACGCTTATACAATGTTCGAATTGTAAGATATTGAAGAGTAGTATGTTTATAAATATATCTATATTGAGTAAAAAAATCTGTGGTTGTTCCAATCATTTCTTTGACATGAAATACAACATTTTAGACGAGCCTTTAACTTTCCTTCGAATTTTTCAAGGTGCATTTACATTTCGTTCACATAATACCGATATGTTACAGCTTTGTGGAATTTTAATAAGGTACCCTGATATATCGTGTTTAGAATGGAATGTGTTAAAAGATATTCACTCACCTCTGGTTTCCACTATTATTTGTTTCCTCCGGAGGAAACACATTTCCGTCAGCCATTTTAAAAGGACGGTGCGTTACCAACGCTCCGGGGAAAAGTGTAACGCACCGGGGTCGATCCCCGGTGCGGTATGGTTGCTCACCGTGTATTTCAATAGTTGAATAGTAAACACAAAAGAAATCAAACTTTAAACTGTTCATGCCATGTTAAATGCAATGTACTTAAGTTGAACGAATTACATCCACTCACTTCTCGATAAACTTACCTCATAATCAATACATAAAAAATGGATTTTCCTAAAATTGGATATTTGACCATTTAACTTTCATAAGATATTTGTGATTTAAGATAAACAATTCATGTTGGGTCTTAGGAGAAAATAAGGACCTCGGGGCTTCGACATTATTTTTCCTAATACTCAAGACTCATTGTTTATCCCTGACTTACACTTTGAGTCAATAAGGAAAAATCAGTAAACCATCAAGTGTAGTGTACTTCTTCGCCGCGTCTGATTGTTTAATAGCCATATTCTTTGGTTTAGTGAATACTTACCAAAATACTGATATTTCAGTATTTTTCGACTGGGTGGTAACAAAATAATTTCATTAAGATACTATACATCAGTCTCGGATCAAATTAACTATGGGATATTTTCCTATCAAAAACCTGTTGCTATAGTATCAATTTCAATCAGTTTTGAAAAATGATGTGTCTAACTTTTTTCTTTAAATGATCACTTAGTGTTACGTAGAAAATGGGCCACAAGAAAACAAATAACGTTATTTTAGTGAATACCTCATTGATTGCCAAAGCGATCAGTGTACGTCCATTATTTTAGTGCTACTAAAAATCACAAGGTGTTATATTACCCGTGCAGCATTTGAAATGTGGCTGTTGTAGAATCCATTCTCGAAGTTGATCAACTGCCGCCTGTCTTTCTCTTGGATTTTCGTTCAGTTCCTTTTTAGCTTTAGCTAGAGATTTTTCGTCAAGGGAACATACATATTTTGTTTCTGCTAACAAATATTCCACTTCACGTGATACTACTTCTTCTGAGGACATGTTGGCTATTTGCTTTACAGAATCAAGTCTATACTCTACATACATATATACGCTGTTAAGAGATAATTTTAAAGTAAAATGCCCTTTTCGAATTTCAATACAATTCGGTTACAGTAACTTGGCTAAACATCAGTTGAACATACTCATAAAACGCATGACAGTAAACGTACTAAACTTGAATAGTGTTCTTTGTACCGTTAAAATAATTACTCAAATGAAATGAATTTAGAAAAAATCGAAATGAAGTTTTCACTTATTTATCGTATTTTCTGAAGAAGATCGTTTACATATAAAACGTTCTCAACATACGCAACTGTACAAAAATATCACAGGGTAGAATCTAGAATAATTTTGACTCCATCAAAGAAACTAGAAATTAACCAAGGTGGGACTTGAAGATGGTCACGTTCATTAAATGTGTAATAGTGAACACAGAAAGTAATATAGAGGAAAACCTGTAAAGTAGAACCCCTCTGTTAGATGAACATTTTCAGAAGACCAACTGACGTAACATTAAATATTTTCAGAATCCGAAAACCAACTGACTAATATTAAATGAGCCTCTTTAAGTGGAACATGTAAAGTGGAACACGTAAAGTGGAACACTTTTCTGGAGGTATCAAACGAGTTCCACGTTTACAGGTTTTACTGTACATCATTTATGCCTTACCATTAAATCATGTTTTAAAAGGAGAGGAGTCACCGTGTGCTTTTCGTTTCGCTAGAGAAAAAATCTTAAATATTAAATAGCCTTGGATTTTATATGATCAACTCAGAGCCCAGGGACAATACATGAAAATGCACAAGGGGTAACATTTGAATTCTACACAAGATTACAGATTAATTAAGATTGTCCTTGATAAGAATAAGACAAACACAGTATACAGTTAATCCCATATAATTTATTTGTAAATATTTCATAAGCCATTCCATAATTTTAGTCTTTTGCTGTCTATCTTCCCTCATAGCAAAATTTCTCAAAAAGTTCATGATTTTGCCACCATTTTGCAAAAGTAGTTTTAGACATGTTTAGAATATAAATAAAACTTTGCTTGTAAGATCGCTTGATAATTGATTGTTCTCTAATTTTAATGTTAGAAAGCCTCATTGTGTTTTACCCAGAATGCAATAGCCTTGTACAAAAAAATATAAAACCATGATATCTGATTATTTCAATATTTAAAGGCAACTACATCACTTTGGTTCTTTTTATTTAAAGGGAGAATCAGATCTAGCGAAGTTTTAAACAGAACTGTAGAATAGAATATTTTTTGGCTCATATCATTCCTTGTCATGTCTATTATCTAGAAGTCCCAAAGTGCATACTTTATTTCAGGAAAACTTAAGATTTATACAATAATGTATTATTTTTCTAATGTTGTTACCAGATTCATTACTTGGGAGCACCATGGGCTCTACCACCATCTGATAGAGTCCATGGGAGCACTTTGAATCCTTAATAATTTTACCAATTTATAAAATATTTTAGGAGATATTGTATTTGAAATTGTAAGGAACAGATTGTAAGGACCATGTACCTTTTTCTTTACAGAGGGTACATGGTTTTTAAAGTAAGGTCAATTATACATGTTGCTTGAATTTTTTCACCACTATAGATCTGATTCTGCCTTTAAATAATAGTGAACAATCTTTTATTATTCTTTATTGGGAATTTAAAAGCATGAATGCATGTACTAGCCTGAGTGTGAGTTCGAGTGCATTATTAGGATACATGAATGGTTTTAATTTCCTTATAGGGAATGATACAAGGTTCTTTATTGCAATTCAAATACACAATCACTGATAGTGTCACTCCTTAACCAATAATAGCACAGCTCGGTTCATTATGAAACGGTAATGCACTGTAAAATAATATATCTGCTCATCATCCACTCTTTAACAATAATGGCACAACTCGGTTCATAATGAAACCATAATGCACTGTAAAATATGTTTATGTTCAGTTGACCATAAACCTTGAATTAATGCACTGAAATACTCTAAGCCCATTGGCTGAGACACACTTGGCACATTTGAATATTTAATATTCAATTATTCTAGCCTCAATTCTCGATAGCACTTCTCATCAAACCAACAGATCAAACGATGGATTTTTGATATTGCATGTTTTCTAACCCACCATTTTGATATGATATGCTGTTGAAGTTTCACTTGAAGAAAAGTATTCTCACAGGCCTATACAGCCAAATTACATTGGACGCAGTACCAGCCGGCACTAGGCTCGTTGGGTCAATGGGGCCTGTCCAATCTCGTTACGAGTCCCGTAATTGCTTGTATGAGGGCCGATATAATTTGCCTGTGTACCACTTTGTGAGCAGAAATGACCAAGAAAGCAAACAAAAAACAATTAATTAAGGTGCATTAATATAAGGTGTTCACATTATGAGGTGTTCACATTATGAGGTGTTCACATTATGAGGTGTTCACATTATGAAGCAGTCACACTGTAAGGTACATTATGAGGTGTTCCCATTGTGAGGTGCTCAATCTATGAGGTGTTCAAATTATAAAACATTCACATTTTAAGGTGCATTATGAGGTGTTCACACTTTAAGGTGCATTATGAGGTGTTTCCATTGTGAGGTGCTCTCTTTATGAAGTGTTCACACTTTAAGCCTTAAGGTGCATTATGAGGTGTTGAAATATGAGTTGTTCCCATTATGAAGTGTTATTATGAGGGGTTTATAATATTGATCCTTATCGTGTTGCTTATCTTGCAAAATCTCTCTATACCCTTATGAATTCTCTTCAGAAGTTATATTGTACAAAACTGTCCTTTATACTGTATATATACACATTAAAAATACAGTGTCATGGCAAGATTTTAGTACTTTTACAACATAAATTGGTAATATTTAGCTAGAAAGTTTTGGGTTTGGTCACATTTTAATATTCACATTAAAACCTGTATACTGTACTTCTACTAATTTGGCGCTTCTTATTTTGCTGGACTTGCTGTTTTGAACATTTGGCAGCTACTTAATGTGGCAGACTTGCAATATAACAATCTACTAATGGTACTAATTTACATGTTATTAAAATGACAGCTACTTAATTTGGCGGATCTGCCCAATTAAAATGGCCGCTTAAACCTAGTTAAGCAGAAGTACAATATCCCAACACCTATGAGCATTTTTTGGCCCAATTTTATACTCTTCCATTGATTACCATGTTAAAACAAACACATTGACCAGTCCCAATGGTGTTCAGATTAGACAAGTTTTACTGTGAATGATTTTGTTTGACTGGGATGTCATTGTAAAAGTACCTTACATTTTTTACACACAGGCGTCAAAATTGACTTTATTTGGCATTCAAAAATTGCTAAGTCTGTCCCTGTACCATGTCAACTTCTCTTTGGCTCTACTCTGCCTTTTGTGTCATATCATTGTATTTGCTTCGTAAGTATTTAATGTTGATCCCTTCTTTGCTTAGTTTTTTCTTCACAACTCCAAGCAGAGTTAATGTGTTTCCAGCAAATAGAACCAAAAATATGATTGCCAGTACATATACCTGGAAAAAGAATAAAATATTTCATTTAATACTGTGGGGTATCAGCAAAGCCTGTTTAAGTAGAACACTTTTGGTACCTCTAAGAAGTTTTCCACTTGGGAGGTGTACCACTTATAGAGGTTCACTTAACATTAAGTCAATTGGTCTTGGGACTCTGAAAAGTGTTCCACTTAAAGAGGTATTCGACTTCTAGAGGTTTCATTATTGCTGATCAAGTTCTACACAAGAGCACATTGACAATCATGATACAGTTCAATAACTGCAGTGATCTCCCCAGCATTAAAGCAAGTGGACGCATCACCCACCTGAGATTTTGAAAATAGGCTTGCATCAACCTGAAAATCTATTTCACCCACTTGCAAATGAGAAATATCATGAAAAATTGGCATATTTTTACCAATTTTGGTCTGAATTGTGAAAATGAGAATTTTGCACCCACCTAAGAAAAAATCCTGGGGAGATCACTGAACTGTAATCCCCACTCTCAAATATTTTGTAATTCATATTAATATGGAACTTATAAAATCAATAGATTTGGCCATAGACCTTATTTTCAAAAAGTATTTAAGCTGGCCAATGCTAAAGATTTGTCAAATTTTTATGGGAAATAAATAGATTTTGAAACATTTTGGCAGATTGCAGTTAAAAATGAGTTAAAAATGGGAGATTTATCGGTAAATGATAGAGTAGATTGTAATTTTTACTATAAATAACTATATAATAGATTCCTGTAAAAGGCTAAGTAGTCAGGCCTTATACAGGGTGTCAAATAAATATGTTCTCCCCCATAATTTCAAAAATATGAACTTTTGTGCACAAAAGTGCATCTAATACACCAGATGTGAGTAGAAATAATCTTGATTTATTTCATTAAACATTTAAAATTCATATTTGGAATCTACATGTAAAATTACATCTAGAAATGTGGTTTTGAAAAGAGTTCATCAACTTTCAAAATTCAATTTTCTTTAAAAATGTGACTTCTAGGTCGGGGAGATTCCCTATACACCCAATGTTGTAAAATCACAAAAAGTGAAATATCTTTTCTTGTGTTGGGCAGGTAACATTTTCTTTTACTGGATACATTTTAATTTGTATAACTATCAGATACATACGGGTAATATGAAAAGTGAACCACTAAAACTGATGATTATTCAAGTTTATGGGAATTTTGTAATACCCTGCCATGTTATTTCCCCCGAATCAGCCACCTGGTGGCAAAAGTGGAAACTACCCACTCGCATCTGAGTAATTGAGCTAATCATATGAAACTTCTTGTAGAACAGCTCCATGAAGCCTAGTTTTGATGTGCTAAAGACCAACTCAGATATCATACAGACAAAAAAGGACTCCAACATTATGTGGATGTAAAAGCTAAGGGGATACATATTTATTTGACACCCTGTAGAATTCAATCAATTAAAGTTTCTCATTCTTACCTGCCATTCCTCACATTTAGGGTCATGTGAGAGCTGGTAGAGAACATAAGCATTGTAAAGCTGGAATAGCTAGAAATAAAAAAAATATTTTCATTTAATTCATATGTTCTATACTGTATTTCTTTTTAATTTGGCAAGCCTTTTAATTTTGCATATTAAAAGAATTGCCAAATTAAATATTCACCAAAATATATTCGTTCAGGACACTTCCAGTTGGAAGAAAGATTCCAAAAAGCAACAAGATATATTGAAGAAATTTATATGAACAACAAGAAATATTGAAGAAATTGTTCATCAACAACACTGCAGAATGCTAACCGCTGACTGCTGAACACCAACCGCCAACTTCCAAATGTCCACAAAAAAGATAGAAACTATAACTAAAATATATGTCACCACTAGTGGTGTTGACATTAAAAGTGAAAGGTGTAACAGTTTACAAACTCAAATTGGATAAAGCCCCTCAAACCATGAATAATAACCCATTTTATGCTAGCAGCATACTTACATATGCACCGAATAAGAAGGGAAGTAAATATGTTAATCCTCTCCACATCCAAGACTGGAAGCCCTCTAAAAATAAACAAACAAACACATTAAAATCACTGGCATGTAGCGATTATAGCGGTCCTGTCTTGGCTTATTGAATTGTTACGAAGTTACGTATGCGGTGCGGAAGTTAGAGAGCAAATGACCATCATTTCAATGTAATAGTTAATGCAGGAAAATTGAGATTAGGCCATTGGAGTATTTGTTTCATGCATTTGTAAAACGTTACCCACTCATAGGTCATACTTATCGTTAAACCAATAACTCAAATATATGCCCTTGTACACCGATCACCTGTTGAAATTAATACAGGCCGATTTCAACAAATGTAAACGGCGATATATTTAAAATCGTATTCAAGCATGACCACGTCCCAACTTCTTTTGTTTTCTTTACAACTAAGCTATGACTGCAGTCTATTCAGTGTTGCGTATCGAACCTTGTTTATTATAAAAATAGTGCAACAACAAGCAGAATTCACACATTTACCTTATACTTATTCTCAACTGAAGACATTGAATTTATCTCTTAGGTTTTACATTATAAATATCTTAACATGCAGAATACGAAAATAGAGGCTTAGGCCCAACTTTGTATGAATTTTATGAGAATAATCTGATTTTAGAGAAATGAAAAGAAAAATGTCCACACACTACACAAAATATTTATGGTTCCCCGGGAATACGTATGTGCTGCTTGTATATTAGAATCGTATTCCAGTTACAGAAAGAAGTACATATCATGCTTAACTATATACAACAGTTATGCACTTGGAGGTTTTGGATACAGGGAATATCCCGAGGGATATATAATATGTCTTCCCTTGGTCCCTTCGGTCCCTCGGGAAGATATATTGTATATCCCTCGGGATATTCCCTGTATCCAAAACCTCCAATTGCATAACCCCTATATATTGGCCAAGGGATAATCCCAATATCCTGACTATATGATAATATGTTTATCCCATACCAATCTTGGTAATCTGGTTCACATTGTTAAATCGTGGAAATATTTTAGAATATTCATGTCCAGTTTTGTTTTCTTGGCCGTGGGCGGATTTTCATGTTCTCTCAAATAATCCCATATTTATTTTCTCGAATTTTTTATTGATAAAGTGGATGCCCTTTCCCTTTTTTAACTATCAAACAGACCCTGATTGTCTGTGTTTTCTTCATTGCCGTTTACAGTCATTCCGCGAACGTTACAAATTATGAACAAATATGCAAGCGGCGATAATGACGTAGCGGGCAGATATACTACATCTGCCCGCTTGGAGCGGGACATAAAGCTTTATCCCATGGTTGCAAGGAGGATATAGATCGAATATCACATGATGATATATTTGATATGTGGATCAAGATATCATATTTTATCAAACAATTTACAAACCATCGAATATCACTTTTAAACTATCGAATATCACATCTTAAATAGAGGATATCCTATGATTTATGAGTGATATGATTTTTATCCACGAATGGATATGATATCTGCACGAGTGAGCGTAGCGAGAGAGTGCAGATACATGTATCAACATCCATGAGTGGATTAAAATCATATCACGAGTAAATCATAGGATGTTCTTTATATTCCATAGTTAAAGTCATCATCAGAATCTTCGGGAATTAAGTGATCTAAAACGAATTTTCCAAACGATACGGCGATATTGACACTTAGCCTCGTTTTGAGTCTGAAGTAGCAAAAATCCATTAACCATGGCATACGGCGCCGCATGTCATGGCTAAAACACCGTATGCTATGGTTAAGTGAAAATTTGCCAAAAATATCATATTTTACCACTGATTTCAAAAATACCGTTTTTATTTTGACATGTTATCCTATGGATATCATGCTAACTATGGAATAATATAGGAATATCCCATGGCGTAGAATAATGGAAATAACGTCACAACGCATGCGCGTAAATCGACATTGCATGGTCCAAAGATTTCAATGGAGAGCAGTCTTCATCAAAATTTAAAATCTTAATAACTTTTTAGCAAAGCATTTATTTTCTTAGGATTCAACGGATCCTTGTTAGACCCAACGAAGTGTTCATTTTGATATATAAAACAGCAAAATCCATCCACAGATCTTTCGGCCTTTTAATGATTTAATTTTCGGGATATTTTGCTAAAATCCCCCATTGGGCGCCATTATAAACTTTGAAAAAAAACAAATCCTCATCATTTCATATCATTCGTTAAGTGATCTAAACAACTCCAATCGCTTAGGATTCAACGGATTCTAAGAGATCAAAGCTAATACAATATGTTGACAACCACCATTTCAATATCTGCCGCATAATCTTTCGGCCTTTTGGGTTATAAATTTGTCAAGATTTTGATTTTCGACCATTAATGACGTACTTGGATCCGAGATTCATTGTCCCGGGATTCATGACGCTATTTCCATTATTCTACGCCATGTATGGCTCTGAAATATCACTTATATCCATGAGTGGATATTGATATCTTCGCGAGTGAGCGCAGCGAATGAGTGAAGATACTGATATCCATGAGTGGATATAAGTGATATTTTTGAAAAACTATAGGATTGTCCGTTTATCCCATTGTGAATTATTATCCAGCGAACATTGAATAGTCAGATAAATTGTAATGGAAATTCCATTTCGTCTGACATTTTGATTGCGATAATTCAACGAACGTCATATACGTGACGTAACAGAGTGGTTTGTATTTAATGCGAACGCCGTAAAAACAGGATCCCAAAAAATAAAAATATATAATAAATATATAATTCAATTCAATTCAATTCAATTTATTTCATAATTCTTATATAATATACACTATAAAAACAAGCCGCTAGACACCCTAGTGGGTATATGTTGCGGTCTAACAGAAATCATTAAAATGACATCTAGACTACATATAAAAGAAAACACTTATATTATGTTACATGTAGGTATATAAAAATGGTATTAACAATTAATCTAAGGATGTTCAATGTAAAAATGTTACAAAAATCAGGTATCAGTATAAAATCAACAGTATAGTATGATATTGGTATTATACATTATCGATAGATGAGTAGTTTTTTATATGAAGATTTGAAAATATTTAGAGTGGAGCATTTTTTAATATCATGTGGTAGAGCATTCCAAAGATTAGGACCTAGATGGCGAAGGGAAAGTTTAGAGCATTTAGGGATATGAAAATAATGCAATTGTCTTGTGTAATGATGATGAATATTAATGTTGATATCAAACAAGTCTTGAAATAGATTTTTTGGAAGACTGGGGTGCTTATTAAAGATTTTGTACATGAACTGACCAGTACAATATCTGTTGACATCAAAAATATTTAATATGTTAAGATCTTCAAATAAGGGAGCGGAGTGAGAAGGTCTATCCTTATTTAAAGCTAGCCTTAAGAATTGTTTCTGCAGTTTATGTAGACGATCATAAAATGATTTAAATGTGTTACCCCAGATTATGTTGCAATAATTTAATTGAGAGTGTATCAATGAGTAGTAAATTGTTTTGAAACTGTCTATTTGAAGTAGATGTTTAATGTGATAAAGAGAACCAATGACGCGAGAAATCTTTGTTTCAATAGATTTTATGTGCTCTTTAAATTTCAAGTTTTTATCAATAATAATTCCAAGAAAGTCATTTTTATCCCGGAAATTTATGTTCTCATTGCGTATTTTGAGATTCAGATTTGTTTGATTTTTTTTGGGGTCCAAATAGAATAGCATTGGTTTTGCCAATATTAAGTGAAAGTTTGTTTGCTTTTATCCAGTCATCTATTGAATTCAAGTTTGCATTAGTTCTAGTCATAACCGTTCATTTAAATCATAATCACTATCAAGAAGATTGGTGTCATCAGCAAACATAATAAATTTTAGATTAGGGTCAACAAAAGGCAGATCATTTATGTAAAGAATAAATAATAGTGGTCCAAGTACCGAGCCCTGCGGAACACCACAATTTAGAGATGATTGTTTAGATTCATAATTGTTAATGGTGACATATTGTGTGCAGTCTTTTAAATAACTTTCAAACCAGGACTTAGCTATTCCTCTGATGCCATAATATTCAAGTTTTTGTATCAAAATGTCATGATTAATAGTGTCAAAGGCCTTGGAAAAATCTAATGTTATGCCAATGCTCGTTTTCCCCAAATCAGTTGATTTTCGAATTTGTTCAATGAAATATAAAATGGCCATGTAGGTAGAGTTGAATTTCTGAAATCCAAATTGATAAGTAAAAATAATTTCAAAACGTTCTAAAAAACCAGTGAGTTTGGCGTGCATGAGCTTTTCTAACAATTTAGAAAATACCGATAAAACTGAAATTGGTCTATAGTTCGAAGGATTTGTAGTGACTCCTTTTTTAAATACAGGTGTTACTTTGGCCAATTTGAGGGCGTCTGGGAAAATACCAGATTTAAAAGATAAGTTAAATATATACAAGAGTGGATCAATTAAAAACTGTCTTACAGACTTAATAAGTGATGGTAGAATCCCATCAGGTCCAGGCGAGGAAGATTTTAGAAGACATATTTCTAATTCAAGCTCAGTTTTTGAGGTCTTTTTGAGATAAATAGATGATTGAACTTTTTGAGCTCTTGCTAGGTATTCATAAACAATCGTTTTGCTGAATTAATAAAAAAAATTGAAAAAATCAAAACCATCGAATATCACTTTTGAAACCATCGAATATCAATTTGAAACCATCGAATATCACCTTTCAAAAAGTGATATTCGATGGTTTCAAAAGTGATATTCGATGATTTGGGAATTGTTTGCTAAAATATGATATCTTCATCCACGTATCAATTATATCTTCACGTGATATTCGATCTATATCCTTGTAACCATGGGATAAATACGGGTTATGTACTGGGAGGTTTTGGATGCGGGGTTTTTCCAGAGGGAGATATGCATATCTACCTGAGGGACCGTAGGGACAGAAAGTAGATGTGCATATCTCACGAGGGATGAACCCAATATCCAAACCGACCGTACATAACTGCTTTATCCTATACCAAGTAGAGTTTTCAGTAGCACAAGGTGTAAAAAATAAACAAATCATTCATATGCAAAGTCATTTTATTGCATTTCCACTTTTTTGGAAGCGGGAAGATACGACCCGAAGCGGGAAGATATGCACCGAAGCGGGAGATATGACGGGAGATATGGAGGTTCTTGATATGGAAACCTCAAAATCAGGATACGGGATATATCTTACCAACTTATCTCCCTAAAACCCTACTTGGCATAGGATAAATCAAGATAATTTCTACTCGCATCTAGTCTATTCCACATGTTTGGGAAAAGTGTACAGGAAAATCTCCATGTTCAATTGATGTATGATCAACCCTCATAGGGGTCAATCCAGTTGTCCGAAACCCAGTTGTCCGAAACTCAATTCTCCGAAACCCAGTTGTCTGAAACCAAGTTCTCCGAAAATTAGGGGATCTTATCAAAAAATACAATTTCTTAAAACGAATCTTGTCGCAACCTCTGCGAATCACGACAGCATAACATTTGAATCACGTTGACATCATTGCAAAATTAGGCTAAATATGCTGAGTCAAGACGTTAATTAGCCCACGAAAGTTCATGGGTAACTTGTGAACTACAAAATACAACCAAATACTTTTCGAACGTACAATAGCAATATTTCTCACCCAACGTCTTCATAGTTTTAGGAACGTATTTTAAACGCATGATAGCCAAATATATCAAGATACTATATCTGCCTAAATGAAGTTATCTAGTGTTGACAAAGTTTTGAAATATATTTTATCCAGATCCATCAGAAATTAACTTATCCAATACATTTGTTCATAAGAATTCTTTAATTCTACCTCGTTCCCAATACGTCCTCAGACAGACAAGAAATTGAAGTCACACCCGTTTGTTTGCGTGGCATATTTATACGTATACGCACTTTCTCTGATTATTGTCAAACAAATACATTTCAGGAGAAGAACATAAAAAACAAATGCCTGAAACGAATGCCGAAACATAAATCCCAAGTGATTAAGTTTAGAATGTTTTATTCTTTTACGATTTGATAAGAGACTGAGACTAAGAAATTAAATGCGACGAAATATTTTGACAACGTAATTTGTATACTGTTTTATTCTTAAAGTTCTATACCTTATTTTATCTGTTTCAAAATGTTTCATTTTATTTTGCCTATATAAAAGAGATTGAAGGAGATAAGATAAACTGTTCCGTAATATATATTGTGTTTTAATAACCTTTTTTAGAATCACAATGTAAAATAAATCTCCCGTTCCTGCCATTCTGGTAACGCCATGCAATGGATGCAATTCAAAGTGAGAGAGAGAGATCTATGAATATCAGAATGCGTCCATGCCATTAATTTGGCCAAATACATGGCATGAAACTGACGTAAGCTTAAGTAAGCTACGCCCCCCCTTTCTCTGGTAAATTATGACTTCATTTTTCGGAGTAATGGGTTTCGGACAACTGGGTTTCGGGGAATTGGGTTTCGGACAACTGGGTTTCGGACAACTGGGGTGTCAATATATACGAATCGAATGTATTCTCGTGTGCATTACAATATCCCCATTGAAACATTTTTGGCCTGCAATGGACGTATAATGAATTAGAATATGAGGCCGTGTTATCATTCTAATGTAAAATCATGGTATTTACTGTAGTATTGGGTTGCAAGTTAATATCAGATTCAATGCAAATTAATCATCTAATATCAGATGCGCGATCAGTCCAATAATCTAATTTCAGGTCATCAGTTCGATATCTAGCACTTGTTCTAACGACACGGTATTACTAGACTATCATATTATAAATACACACACATATAAAACAATCAAACTGGTACACGATATATGCACGACTGCTCTTTCAATTGAGTATAAATGTTGATAAACTTACCCGGAAGCCAAGACATACAAGTTTAGACGATGCTATTTTCTGTTCAGTGTAAGAGTAAATGCCCGGATATCGAGGCTTTTTCGTGTAAAGTTTTAACCAAGCATCTAAAATCGGGTTATATTGCGTGTAGAATTTATCGATATCAGGGCCGCTACATGCCAGTGAAAATGTAAGGAGCTAGAACAAAATACTGCTAAATGTGAACATGAAAATAGAAATCAGCAAAGAATAACACTTAAAACATTGAATTTATCAATTTTCACAAGAATGACAGAAACTCAAATTTTTGACAGAATTTTTATTTTATTTTTTTTGGAATTAATTAACTTTTTATTAATTTAATGCACTTTTAAATGAGATTGACCCTATAATCTACCTTAGCAAATGCCCATTGCTCCTCACTATATGTAGTGCCTACGCTACAGTCTATAATGTGTCTCTGTATACACTAATTTCCATACTGTATCCATACTGTGTCTATTTATACTTACCTACACTAATGTCCATACTGCGCGTCCCTATACACTAATGTCCATACTGTGCCTATTTATACTTACCTACACTAATGTCCATACAGTGTCTATTTATACTTACCTTTACTAAAGTCCATACTATGTTTCTCTATATGCTAATTTCTACACGGTGTCTATTTTACACTAATGTCCATACAGTGCATCTCTATATGCTAATTTCCACTCTGTGTCTATTCATATTTACCTACACTAATGTCCATACAGTGTCTCTATATGCTAATTTCCACACTGTCTATTTATACTTACCTACACTAATGTCCATACAGTGTCTCTATATGCTAATTTCCACACTGTCTATTTATACTTACCTACACTAATGTCCATACAGTGTCTCTATATGCTAATTTCCACTCTGTGTCTATTTATACTCACCTACGCTAATGGCCACTGTTTTTATTTATACTTACCTACGCTAATGCCCACTGTTTTTATTTATACTCACCTACGCTAATGCCCATGCTGTTTTTATTTATACTTACCTATGCTAATACCCATACTGTTTTTATTTACACTTACCTACGCTAATGTCCATACTGTGTCTCTCTCCCAGGGCCCTGAGCCTGTAGAGTGCACCAGTCTGATAATAGAACTGCATTATTTGTATAAGAGCTGAAAAACATATTAAAATCACATTAAAATTATAATAGGAACAACTTTTTTCATAAGTTATTTTTTCAAAAAATGTCTCATTCACAAAAGTTTTTTAAGTCATGAAAAGTAATTTTAGATTGGTTAAACTTAAATGTTCAAACTTTGCATGGGGCCTTTAATGAGTGATTTAATACATACAGTTTTTTATTAAATTATTTTTCTCTTGGTAAGATTTGGGCACTATGTACAGGCTTCAGGGTTCATGGTTCAGAGGTTGGAATATGATTGCCCAATCTGACATACTGGCATTCAATCGAATGCCCAATCTGCATCAGTTCATTGCCAAAAGTGAAAAGTGATTGTCATTTCCTGCATTGGGCAGCTCAGAGTTCCTAACCCCAAAGCCGATCGGCAACAAATGACAGGAATAATGAAACATTATGTTTTCAGAAAAATCAATGGATTTTGAAATACATACCTAGGTATATTGAGAAATACATAAATTGGTCTCTGAACTTTCTGAAGCTGTCACTTTCTGGCCTGTAACAAATTGAAAACAGTATACACATCAATGAAATGATATGAGACACTCTGATTAATGCAAGGACCATTTAATAAGTGTTATTGATGGTACACACTATATTGACTATCATGCACCATTTTAAGGTTTCCGTGAAACCCCAATGCGGGAAGGGTCAGCAATTTGACATGCAGTATTGTTCCAAGAGGGAGGGGGAATTTGACAGCACTTCTTCCTGAGAGTAGAGAATTTGAAATGCATGTAGGCCTAAGGGTTCTCACTTTCTGGCCTGTAAAAAATTTGAGATGTACAAATAAATGAAGTGATGTGTGGTGCAAGAGAAATGCAAGGACTATATTAATAAGTGTTATTGATGATGTATTGACAGAATGTATAAATTATTATGCACTAGGCCTATTCAAAGGTTTTTGTGAGATGGGGGATGTCAGGAATTTGAATGCAGTATTGTCCCATGAGGAGGGGGGGGGGATTTTGACAGCACTTCTTGACAGCACTTCATCCCAATTTTTATTTTGTCAAAATCTCAATTTCTCCCTGCGTGGGGTCTAATGAATTATGATAAGCATTTTAAATGCTGTTATGGACAATATATTGTTAATGTTCCTACCATATAAGGATAATTCCTGCACAGACTGTAGAGACAAAGTGATGTAGCACCCACCAGCCTTTAATCCTGCAACAAACAAGAACAAAATACACAATCTCTATATGGAAATTATGTGGAAATAAAGGATACATAACAATAAACTGGCATAGGAGGTGTGTCCAAGTAAGATACACATACACATAACTAGAGGTAATCTCTGTCTAAAACCAACAAATATGTTTTTGAAATTCCAATCTTTTTTTAATTTTTAAGAATTTTTAAGAATTGTTTAAAGCCTTTTGGATTTTTAACCAAAATTTCTTTTTTCTAAGAGCGGTCCCGATGTGAAAGAAATTATGGTCCCCCAGGGATTAGGGTCCCCTTTCTTAACTGCCCTTACTGGCACTGATTGTGTATAAGATAATAAGGAAAAAAGGTCACCATATAAATCAATGGCGATTAGGACCATAAATTAAAAGGACCTCCTACCCTTTTACACCGGGATGGAACGGCTATTTCTCTCTGTCCCAGATAATTAAGAAAACCTCATATGTATATTTCCAATATGCTTTCCCTGACCTCGCAAACAGTTTCTAAACAGCAAAATTTTACTTATAGTTGTTACAGTAAAACCTGTGCACAGTGAACACAAATGGAGTCACAAAAATGTGTTTACTATAGGTAGGTGTATCCACTACAGAGAGGCAATTTTATACTGAACTCAGTTGAGAATGTGCTAAAAAGAGGTGTTCACTACACAAAGATGTTCACTAGAGAGAAGTGTTCACTAGGACAGGTTGAACTGCAATTATGCATACAAGGTGTCGAATAAATATGTCCCCCCCTTAATTTCAAAGTTATGAACTTTTGTGCATAAAAGTGCATCTAGTTGAGCTTATCATCTGAAACCTCTTGCTGAGTTTAAGAACAATTTAGATATTACACAGATAAAAAAATTATGGAACAGTATGTGGATGACAAAGTTAAAGGGAGGAGAACGTATTTATTTTACACCCTGTATAAAATTATTTATGGACAGTACCTGGATCCATTAACTTTTAGAATATGTTCTCTAATCGTGAGTGTACAGTAATACCAAACAAGTAGGAAGTCAAAGGCTGCATCAAACCATCTGAAAAACAATAGAGTTGTTTAATACCAAAATGTTTAACTCAGAGTCTGGCTCAAAGTCTATTTTACTAAAATGTACAATTCTAAATGTCAATACATGTTATTCTGAGTGTTCCTTTTAGTCAACTGTAGTCAATACTCAACTAATAAACATGCACACTAGGTGATTGATAAGTATTATGAGAATTTTATTTTTATAAATATTTACAGAAATTTTTAAATTTTATAAATATTTACACTCAAGTCATTCAGATACTGTTTTTGAATCCAGAATCTCAGAAGTGACACTTAAAACCAAAAAAGAGTGGTAGATATATTTTAAAATAAAGATGGCAGCACAATCAATCTATTCCACATAGAAAACCTAATAAAACTATACCACTGCTGCCACCTTTATATTGGACTAAAACAAATATAACATTAGGACTGTGCTGTTTACCTGTAGCCAGCAAGGAATGTTAGAAGGCAGATAGCCCACACTAAAGTGATCACTGTGCACACCAACTTGAACTTCTCATATTCTTGTTTGTAAGTAAACCTGTAAAAATATAAATATATATATGCATAAGAGCCAAAGGGAAATGACCAATAATTGTTACAGAACATATCAATAAAAAACATGTACATCAGTCATAACAAACGCTAACAAACCACGATATAGCATGAAAAGAAACAATGTCTAATACCAAAATTCCAAAAAAGCATTTTCTAAACATGAAAAACATGGAAAAGTAGAAACATGGAAAAGTGTAACAGTTGGTACAGTTGCTGAATGTTGGTTACTATTTGCCATGTTTCCAGTTGAGTGTCATGAGAGTTTCTGGCACAAAAATCTGGTTGCTATAACAATATGTTTCCAATTTGGTTTCTTGAGTTACTGGCAGTAGTGAGCAAAACTGCTGAGAACAATATGGCAAATTATTAAAAATTATGGACACAAAAACACACAGAAATTAGAAACAGTCGAAAATTTCAAAGAGGTGATTTGGGTTAAAACATGTTGTTTATGAAACCCTAGAACAGTGACCTACTTGTCTTGTTTGCTGAGCAGGGACACATTAACCTCTCCGAGAATAATGGACAAATACACGCTGAAACAAACAATACAAATTATAGAGTCAAGTCAGAACGCTTAACAATTATCATAGATTATAAAAGGTGACTTTTAATAGAATGGAGGCATTCTGAAAATTTTTTTGAAAATCATGAAAGACCTCAATTGTCATTTGTAATAATTCACTATCACAATGTTATTTTAAATTATTTCGTTTGGCATTGTTTATTTTACATACAATTTCTGAGTATAATGCAGTACATGATTCTTTTTAGACTAATTTCAATACACACAGTTATTTTTGTATTGAATTACCAAGGACATTTCATGTAATGTATGTAGCTCATTCAGAACCATTGCCTTTATCTATTTATCCAACAATATGTCAAATCAAGCAATATTTAAAGTATCTAAGTATCCAGGCATCAGGTTACCCTGTTCTATTCCACTATTTTCTCATTTCGTACATACCCATTTTTATGTGGTAAAATGTCTTCCATTTCTCTGAATTGGTTTTTCCTATTTGTAGCTTTTTTCTGAATTTCTTTCAGTTTTGCCAAATCTTCTGCATTTTTTGATGATGCTTCTGCTCTGTAAAAATGCACGTAAAATTAATTATGCCAACAATGTATTCAAAATGTTGAGAAAAAGAAACATTTTACACGGACATACTATGCTCATGTAAAAACTGCTAATCTAGAAAGTGAATTGTCATTAGTGGTTTGTATAGCAGAATAGTATTTTCAATTATCGCAAAGACCAACTTTTGGCAGTTCATTTTCAAACTTTCAGTACAGTTAATATCAACTTCTTAAATCTACAGAAAACCTTGATACAAAAAGGTTTTAAATGGTATAACTAATATATGGACCTTTCAAATGTAACATCACTGTTTACAAGTAGAACACTTTTCAGAGTCTGATGAGCAAGATTTTAATGTTAAATGAACCTCTGTAAATGGAACACCTCCAAAGTTGAACACTTTTAGAATTCACTTATACAGGTTTTCCTGTGTATTCATTTAATCAATTTACAGTGCATTTCAAAATGCATGGGATTGTCAATAAATATCTCTAGCTAAAAATTAATATGTACCCAAGCTTATAGTATGACTGTTGCAAATGGCTGAATGAATGGAGAATAGATAGTGTGAAAATAGCTTAACTGTTTGTAAATGTATGTACCAATATTATGTTTTAATAAATCAAATTATAAAACGTAAAAACGTATAACTCCACCTACTTCTTTACAGATTCCAGAATTTGTTTTATCCTGTATTTTTGATGAGATATACCCTTTGAGCAAACATCTTGACTTTTCTTCATTTCATCTATCTTCGTTTGATAGAGCTTGTGGTCCTCCTGTAATCAGAACAAAGAAAAATAATCAGTGATTTAAAATATAGCAATACAATTAGGGAGGTAAAAAGAAAACAAGGCATTTACATGCAAAATGTCACCACCTGCAATTTGTTACAGATGATGAAAGCCAAACACTGTCAATAAAAAAAAGTTGGAGACAATAAAAATGTGGGTCAGTGGGTGGTGATATCATAAAAAACTAAAGTTTCATTATATGTATTTTCATTGTGATTTTTTATTATTCAACACTAAAAATACCATAAAACCTACAAAGATAGTGACTGAAAATCCATTGCGATTTATCATTTGAGTTAAATGAAGGCATTAAATCTGAATCGAACTCCAATGCAGTGTCTCGGTATAGACACTGCGGCGGGCAGATGAAGCAAATCCCCAAAATTTGGGGAAAATAGTTCCCCTTTTCATCGCATATGTGGTCAATTTTCACACAACTTATAAAATATGCATTCATGAATGTTCCCCAAACATTATTTTGTCAAAATATTTCAAAATTATTGAAATATGAGAAGAAATCACCGCGGAAGGATTTCTGAGTAAAAGTTTTGTTGATAATAGTTTACCGCACGTGTTGTTTATTAGTTAATACGCGCAATTCAACCAATGAAATTGTCTAAATTTTACAATCACGCGACCTGAGCATGGGACTAGAACCAATCACTCAGTTGTTTATTTCGAAGTTACCATGCTTACGGTGAGATACCTGCCCGCCGCAGTGATATATCACTGCACGGGAGTTCGAATCTGAATTTGAAATATATATGGTTTTCAATTCTGGAACTTCTTTCACTATAACTGTAACAGGACCTTAAATCCAAGTTTTGAAGTTTTAAGATTGTTATTTAGATGCTTTATGGTATAAAGGACCCATGGTCCTGTGCTCACACAGTTTGGAACCTTCAGAGGAATGTTTACCTTGACTTTCAAACAAAAATATTGATATGGATTTGTAGTCTTGAACTTTGAGAAACTTAGAAAGCACAGTTGTGTGACCTAGTTTGATGACCTTTGACCTTGAAAATTTTACTTATTCAGAGCTCAGTCTTTTGAGATTAAGCTGACCAAAATTTAAATCCAACCAGAACAACGGCAACGCCAAAGCGTAGCGAATCCCATCGAACAGAAATGGCTGGCATTTTACAAACGAAATATATAGCAAATATCATAAAACAACACACCAGAAAGGCCACCATTTTCAAAATGGTTAGCCAAGTTGTCATCAGAAGAAATAATATGCTTTTAGTAGCCATCTATAAAATTTTTGAAAAATCGCACACATGTACTTGTGAAATAAGTAAAAAATGTAAAAATGACAGCCATTTTTTAAAATGGCTGCCTACTATCCAAGTGTCATGAGACAGTGTGCAAGGCTCGTGAGTATTCACATATCAAATATGAACAAAATCGCTTCACTACTTTTCAAGTTATAGTAAAAACGTAAAAATGGTGGTCATTTTTCAAAATGGCCACCTACTACCCAAAGTGTCATTAGACAATGTGCCATGCTTATAGTATTCACATATAAAATATGAAACATACCAAATATGAACAAAATCGCTGAACTACTTTCCGAGTTATAGTAAAATACGTTAAAATGGCAGCCATTTTTCAAAATGGCCGCCTTCTACCAAAAGTGTCATTAGACAATGTGACATGCTTATAGTATTCACATACCAAATATGAACAAAATTGCTTCACTACTTTTCGAGTTATTGTAAAATACGTTAAAATGGCGGCCATTTTTCAAAATGGCTGCCTTCTACCAAAAGTGTCATAGGACAGTGTGCCATGCTTATAGTATTCACATACCAAATATGAACAAAATTGCTTCCCTACTTTTCGAGTTATAGTAAAATACGTTAAAATGGCGGCCATTTTTCAAAATGGCCGCCTTCTACCAAAAGTGTCATAGGACAGTGTGCCATGCTTATAGTATTCACATACCAAATATGAACAAAATCGCTCCACTACTTTTCGAGTTACAGCAAAAATCGTAAAATAACGAGTAAAGGCCGCCATTTTTCAAGATGGCTGCCATGTGCTTTTTTTAATATCTACATTTGTAGCTTTATTAATGTCCTTTATAATTTTTTTACACTTAAAACATATTGCTATTACAGTTTTACATATTGTACCTAAATTACTGTAAAATCGGCACTAAAATGGCCGCCATTTTGAAATGAGCGGCCATTTTGAAAATCGGCTTTCGAGCAGAACTTCTACCCCCATAGGGTATATGTGTACAAAATATGAACAAAATCGGGCCAACGGTATTTGAGTTATTGCCCGGACGGACGGACAGACGGACGGACGGACGTACGTACGGACGTACGTACGGACGGACGTCGGCGTTCCCTATATCCCTCCGAACTTCGTTCGATGGGATAAAAATCAATTTGAAAAGTCAACTTTTTTGACCTTTTGAAGGTCACTGAAGGTTAAGTAAAGGTCAAATCCTAAAACTAATGTCAGATTTGAACTCCTGACAACTTGTAGACGATTTTCAAAAAAAGTTGGTTAAATTGAAGCAAGTTGAAAAATAACTTATTTTTACTGTCATTGTCAAAACCTGCCATTGACTTTATACATGAGAAAGTTTCCTGAAAATGACCCAGTCCTACTTTTTGTTAAATTTTATAGAGTAAACACCAAAAACTGTAATTCCAAGAGCTTTGAAATCTTCAGAGGACATAAGTTGCATATACAGCAACTACTACAAGTAATTTGAAAGTTCTACTTCACCAAAGTGTCTAGTATTTACATAAAATACAATTTTTTGACGTCAAAATCAGCAATTTCTTGGAAACCGTGAGAAGTTGGGAAATGGCGATGATAGGTCAAATAGGCATTATGGATATGCATAAAATGAATGCTGACATGACTCAATCAAAATAGCAGTTTTAATTTGTGCGCCCAATGTTGACGGACGAACCAACGGATGGACGGACGCCTGGTCAATCCCATAGGCTCACTGTGTGAGCCAAAAAACTATATCTAAAAATTGCATCAAACTTAAGGGAGAGGGCGATTTACATACAGGGAGCCAAATAGTCTGTTCTCCCCCCTTAACTTTTTAAATTTAGAAATAACATAGGGTTTTTATATATCATTTTAAGGGGAATTTAATTTGCTGATCACACACCAAATTTCAGAGAGATTGGTTAAATTCCAAGTTTTTAAGAGCATTATTAGTGATGTTCATATTTCACATTTTTAATAGTTCGTATAACTACCCAAAGCAGCTTGGACTACCTCAATTCTACAAGGATACGATTCCAAAATGTTCACAAACAGGGGTGTTGCACGGAATGTACTAAAAACCCTTCGACCTACGACCCTTCGACCCTACGACTTACTGGGTGTCAAGAATTTTTGGAATATATTTTATTGAAAAACCCTTCGACCTCTGATTTCCCAGTCCAGTTTACTAAATGATTACGTATAGTTCCAACGTGAGCTCCCTGTGCACGCAAATACGCATTTTACCTGGTAATTGTCAAGCAAAAATGTTTCAGTAGAAAAATTTCTAAAAAAGTTCGTCTACACCTAGGTCTACACAGCAAAAATACGAACGCCGAAAAAAAAAACGTACGCATTTCGTTCGGACTTTTCACCTGAATTACGTATATGTCACGCATTGCGGTCGAAATTTTTATATTGTTTTTACATTTTCAAGCTCAAAAATAAAAAGGCGAGTGCGGGTTTCGAACCCGGGCCTCCCGCGTGCTCAGCGAGCATTCTTCCGCTGGACCACCGTAATATGATGAATGGTGGAGGTAATTAAACGCTACTTATTTTTAACGTAAAGGCTAGAGTACCGACAATTGTCGGTACTCTAGACTCTGATGTGGTGGCACGCTAGAGGACCGACAAATATTGATATTCGAATTTTCTGGCGCATGCGCAATGCGCCGGGGGATATTTCAGATATCATACGGATATTATGGGAACAAGTGCAAAACCCGGGGAGGGCATTAGCCCCGGTTACCCGGGGATTACCAAACCCAGACAAAAAATGGTAGCCCGGGAACAGGGAATGGTAGTAAACGTTGAAAACCCAATAAAAAGGAAGGGGCGTTTGCTACCCATTAGATAGAAGAAAATAGCTAGAATGTTTTTTAGAGCTTATCGTATGGTATGAGGTTCCATATCCATCCGCCAAAAGGTATGACCCTATATAGTCCATTTAAAAACCTGTGGTATCGTTCTAAATAACCCATAGTTGGCTTCTAGGGTACCTAGTATGCCACTATTTGTTATCAAAATAAAGAGGAGTTCAACTTTCATTTGAATTACGAAAATAGCGATGTAGGTCAAAATAGTTCCGAACGTGAGCATGTTTACTACGCGTTTGCCTGTCATATCAGAATTGAGGAAGTGGTAGCAAACGCGAGTTACAATAAACGGACGCTGATATCTCAAAAACTAACCTGACTCCCTATAATTTGATGTAGGTCAATCGAACCCCTATATAGACAGGTGCATTTTGATATATAACACTATGGGGGGTAAGCGTTTCATAGTTGGTCACGAACGCCATATGTGCAAAGTATTGTTATGAATTTTCGAATTTGGTGTTGGATTACGGTACTCATACCTTATAGCACAATTTTTGATGGAAGTTGCATTTGGCTCCCTTAGTTAATGGCCACGATTCCATCTCGCATGAGAGAGCTACCAAACGCAAAGTTAACAGCGATATATTCCAAATGAGATATTTCTCCTGTGCCATGGCGTAGTAAGGGTAGAGGTCGACGGGGGCGAAAGCATCCCCTCCTAATTGTATATATCGACCCATTAGATAGAACAAGAAAAGAGCTTTAAAACGTTTTTTAATTGAAGCTTGTAGGACAATTTTGATGGAAGTTGAATCAATTTTTGTCGAAATAAATTATGGCTCACTACAAGTTAATGCCTGTACGATTCCAGCCACTTGCGTACCGACAATTGTCGGTTCTCTATCTGACACTACTAGGTGACGA